CAGCAGTGCTTCATGCGGGGACTTATGCCAAAATATTCCACAACATAACTTACTCACCGTTAATGCAATGCCCACAGTCGCCGAGAAGGAACCCAAACGAAACTCGCCTGTGTTGTATTTTACCAGGAAAGAAGTCTTACCAACGCCAGAGTCACCGAGCAATATTGTCTAAAAATAAAAAATAATACCACCTAAATTTGTGCTTACTAAAAACTAAAATAGTATGACATACTTTCTTGGCACTATTTTTTTAAGACTTTTGTCGGCTTATTTGTAATTTAAAATTTTTTAATTATTACTTGGTATTCAATATTACTTTACTGTAACGAAATTATTGTAGTTTAACTTATGACACATTTGGTAAGAATACGTTTTAACGCTGCAATATTTATTGGTTATATTTTTAATACCAATCAATTTCTCTTACCTTATGATTGACGGTATCGTCGAAAGGCGGCTGTGGCGGGGGACAATACATGCCAACTTCATCGTATCGATAGGAACGCCAACCATCTTCGTACTCATCGTCGGCACCATCACCATGGAAAACGGCGTCTTCCAGTGCATACATTTGTAAAGCTTTTACCGGTGGACGGTAGCCCGGATAGCCAGTACTGAAAGCATTACTACTGCTACCGCCAAGACTGGAACCCAGACCACTACTACCAGCCCCCCCACCACCACCGCTGCCGAATGCGCCACCACTGCTTCCGCTATAGCTGTAGTTTGCGCGATAGCGCGACGTCTCCTCAAGGCGGCGCTGTGTGGTCTCAGGGTCCTCGAAAACGTCGTCACTCATACTGCTAGCATCGTCTGGTATATGAGACATTTTCAATTATATTAGCACGCACGATAATTTATAATATGTGAGTCCTTGTAGTACGCGAATAATATAGAGAGATAGAAGTTACAAGTGGATGATTGCTTGAAAAGGAGGACGGTGGGGTTAGGCATTACACATTTATTATATGTATTTTAATACAGTTATTTTTTGGTTATCCAAATATTTTTGATGCTTCCAATATTTTGCTTAATTAATTATTAACTTGTTGTAACAGATGTTGGTGGGATTTTATTTAATTTTGAACGGTTTTTACTGGTTTTCAGTTTGAGCAACAGCAACAGGTTTCTGGTTTTCGTAATAACAAGAACAATGCGATTAGCTTGTAGCTTGTAATACAGTTTGAAAAGTAGTGTAGTAGTGATTGAGCAATCAAAGGAAGGATAGGTGACGTTTGTTAAGTGAGCTTTTGAAAGCTTTGTGAGAGCGTGCTTTTGTTTTCCAATTCAATTACCTCCTGTCAGAAATATATGTTACAGTGCTGACAACTGATGTTGTTATTTTGCAAACCTTTATAATCGCTCAGCTGTTTGGTAACAGTTGTATTTAGACTGTTTTATGTATGAATGCCAATTTTGGTATAGGCGGTAGTGGGTGGAGTTTTCTTCAGTTGTCAGTTACAACCAAACATAATTACTCTTTAGCAGTTCTCTTGTTTGCTCTTCACTCCCTCATAGCCTCTTTTTAAATTTTGTTTATCCACAACATAGTACTTGTTTTTTTATCAAAGTGTCTATCTTGACAACTAAATTCTACAAGAAGTAAGCGTGGATGTATACTTTGTGGAGCAATTGGCACATGTCACTATGCTTAAGTGATCGGCTTGTCCGTATGCTGCATTTATGACGCCTTAATATGTTTAGGTTGATTGTCCATATGTCTTCCTGATACCATTGTGGGGGTTTAAGATTTCTGTGTGTATGCGGCGATATCGAACTACTTTTTAGGAGCTTTCACTCGAAATTTTGAGTTTACTTTCTCCTTGTACAAGTTAAGTATATATTTTTTAATATTTCCATGTTGAATTTGTGATATTATTTTTAGTAGGTTTTATGAAAACAAAAAGTTTTCTGCTTATTATTAATATGTGTCGAGGTTTTAAATATTAGCGTTTTCACTAGGTGTTTAAAGTTGAATGTATGTATAATTGGACTATATATTGGCATATATCAGTACAGATATATAAGTAATTTTATTAAACGTTATTATAATTCTTCGTATTGATTTATTTAATTCAAACTACACATTAAATTCCCTAATTTTTATATCAACAGTATATTTAATATAATATATAAATTCTGTATTTTTGTAAAGTTTTTTATTTTTTTTTATAAATTCATTTTGCAAAATTTGCTTATTAAATGTAACTAAAAGAATTTTTTGAGTGTTTTTGTTTTTAATTTTATAACAGTTCTATACACTTTCATCTTAACAATTGGTATAGGTATTTCTCATAATCGATTTGGTTCTTAATGTAAGCTATTTGTTTACTTAGTTTGTCTTTAAAGGAATCTGTACTTTACGTTGATTTCGAAATATTTCGTATAAACACTAATTTTTTTATTTACGTTTAATTGTATGTGTTCAAAGTAAATCCGTCTATTAATTTTTATAACAATGATGTGATTTTTTTAAATGCCATTATATTTCTGTCCGTCGATTCGTCATTTCTTGAATATCACTTCATTATCTTTTTATTGCATTCACATAATATTTTTACCGGATTTAGTAAGCTAATAGTTTTTCGTATAACTGCAACACTTTATTGTTTTTTCACAAACAGTGACATTATTTCCTTTTGTATAAATATCTTTTTTTTTTGTATTGCAAGGATCTTACAAACGGTTGCACTAATATTTACTTATATTAATATTTTTATGAATAAAGGTAATTTTAGCTGATAAATTGGTGTTTCGTTTACGTCTAAAGCACTGTACTAACTTCTAAATTTTAATAAGTTATATCATTTTTAGGATATTTACATATTTTCTCCCAATCCTTTGCTAATTTAATATTTACACATGTAGACTTATATATACATATATTGAGATAGTTTTTACTTATGCCCAACGCATGTCTTATTTGTTAATTTTTTTCTTGTTTTGAACTAGTTATATGTAACTATACAAAAGCATATGATAACTGTCACCAATTATTTACAATTCACAAGCACGTCTTTTTATAAATAAAATGGAACATTAAAGCTTTGTTGTTATGTTGTTGTGTGCATTTGAGGCATATAATTATTTCATATCCAAAGTAGATATTTGACACATCCCTAGCTTATGGAGTACACCCATTCCTAATTTGCCAGGTTTAAGTTTTCCTTGCAGTTTCGTTTTATTTTTCTATCACAGTATAATTACGCAGGAGTGATTATTTACTGAGTTCACCCTTTGCTTGATTGATCTTTCACAAGTACACACTTTGCCACAACTCCAATAAATACGTTGTAGTAAAAAGGTTTCCATGTATAGCTATGTGCAATTTGTACCAATGATGACTTTTAATCCCGAAGACGTCACATAGCAATTGCAACACTTCCCCCGTTGCACCGTAGCTTCACTCAACTGTCGAATAAATTGCTTTTACATAAATTCAACGTTCTACTTATATCCCTGCTGCTCCAATTTTCTATGGCGTATGTTTGTATTTTTTGGCCGCCCACGTATTAAAGTATTAATGGGTGTAAGTGTGTTCTTTGCAAGTTCACGACCCACATTCAAGTCAACCCATAGCTATATACACTGCACAAACGCACGCAATGATAGTAGCATCAGCAAAATTTGTTTGCTTCGTTCATTTTATGTAGAAAAGTCCATCATTTGTACATTTTCGATTTTTTCATGCATTGATTTCAGGCAGCATGCGAGAGTTACATTTTGACACTTTTCATAATTTCGGCTATTATATGTACATACGAGTACAGGTAATTTCTTTACACACATGTTTATTTACGCATGAATGATAACTTAACTTCTTTTTTTTCCGTTGACACTGCTTTCTGTATATGCCGTGCTGGTGAACTTATCGTCCACTGTTCGATTTTGTACTGGCATTTTCGTAGTTAAGTTTGGCAGAAAAATCTCTTTTCTCGCTTTTGATGACGTTTTTGTGCAAGTTGGAGTATTCAGACAGAAAAGTAAAGGAAATCGTAAAAACACCTAGGAGGAAAGGGATGCGAGTTTGATAATGTTCTCTTTACTATAAGCACACCACTATGGCCTAACGTATTTGATAAATTGTTACAGCGATGGCTCTCATATCCGTTCTGCTTTAGACGAGCAAACCACCCCAGTAGAAAATCTAAATATTGTATGCAACATAAATTCATTATTTATGTACATACATATTTGTTTTAATATGCCAAGTGCCAGCGTACAATTTTAATAAGAAGTTTGGCAATCATCTTTGTACTCGGTACCTGGCAGTAATAGCATAGAGAAATAGTTATATATTTTTTAAGATCTTCCGTATTCTATTTAATTTTTTTTAATGAAATGAATTTTATTCATATATTTTCATTTGGAAATTCCACATCAACGGATGTTTCTGCTGGTTCATGAATTTGAATTTCTACTTTATCGAAATAATAGTCATTCTGTATGGCAATATTATGTAAAACCGATGTTCATAGTTGTGCTGAGTGAAACTCTCAATCCGTGGGATACTAGTGGAAACTTGCATACTAAATAGCCCCTCTCTATCTAATAGCAAGTACGGATTTAAGGTTCATTGTCAAGGCGTAAATCGCGAAGATTGTAAAAGTTGGCACAATATGCAATTGCTGACGCCATAACCACAGTCGTCCAATGAAAAGAAGTTCCTAAATTCGTTTTGCTCAAAACGGTGGTTCAGTTAACCACAACTTAATTGACAGATGAGCCTTAACCAGACATTGTAAAAACGAAATTTATGCTACCTCTCGATTAAGGTATGATTAAGTGCTTAACCAGAGATGGTGAAAACAGCACTAAGCTGTGCTCGAACTCGAAGGATTTGGGAAATCATCGAGGCTTAATTAGAAAATTCGTAACAATATTAAAAAAATCGCTAATGCCTGGCAGCACCACTGACTTAGTGACGAGTAATAGGAACAACGAGTGTGTAATTGTTCTCTCGTTTTTGTCAGAGAAAGAAGTTTTTGTACTGAATGTATATATTCTGGAAGAAATGTATTTGCAATTTGTTTGTTTATAAATACTTTTAAACAGTATATAATTTCAAAAGTGTATATTTTTGGCATGTAATATAAGTTTAGAAGTGAATGTAGAAAAAATTTCTTTCAACTTCGTAGTTAAAATCCATCCACCGTCGTTTAATACAGCGAGCAACGACGCATATTCCAAACTTTTCATTTTGAAGGGACAATTATGTAGGATAGAGAGAAAGAGAAGATATATTTGCTGAAGGACGTTTTGCGTATTTTTTTTTATTATTTATTCGGTGTTTTTAAGCGCTCGCGCTTTAATATTTGCTACAGTTTAGGTGGTTGCAGAAGATAATTATTTCCAAACATTTCCAAGATACAATTTGCAAACAGTTGTTTTCAGAAAATATATATTTTGGTTATATATAAAAAGTAAATAATTATAAGACGTGCAAACCTTAGTGGCTTATAATGCGTGATCTGTTGTAAACGTACTACTCAAATTTCATATGCAAATAAAAGTCTAAAAATACGTCGATTGAAGTTTATATTTTGTGAATACAAGTTTTCATCTTTTGCCCGCGCTTTTCTTCTGGCGGTGTTATAATTTATGAAAAATAGTGTGGGTGTATATTAAAAATTTGTTAAACTGGATAACAACATGGGTAGCTCCGATGACCGCGTTTACGCGGCGGAGAGGATAATACAAAAACGTGTTAGAAAGGTAAGAAAACATCCAAAATATTATTGGTTTCAATAGCAAAGCCTTCCTCCAGTTTAAATTGGAAATTAATTATAAGTTTTTGTTTTTATGATATTCATCAACCTTTGGAAATAACATCTGTCATAATACCAAATACTTCCTTTACATGTTTCGGTGGCTTTATGAAAGATGTCTGCCAAAGCCCCTAACCTGTTACCGTCATCCTTCATCAAAACAAATACACAGAGCCAAATTTTCTTTCTTTCTCTTCAGAATGCCAATATATACTTTTGGAGGAAGAAGGGTTTTTTTTAACTTTTTTACTATTGTTTATATGAATAATGCAATTAAGTAAATTTTTGACATTGTTCATTAAATTAAGTGATAAGAAGTTTCACACAAAAAGTATTTATTATTCTTATTCATAATTTTTTATTCGTAGGGTGTTTTGGAGTACCGTGTAAAATGGAAGGGTTGGAATCAACGTTACAATACATGGGAGCCGGAGGTTAATATTTTGGATCGGAGACTAATCGAAATTTATGAACAGAGCAACCGCTCTTCAAATACACCGTCAAAGCGTGGCGGAAAACGCAAAGAAAAAGCACACGATCCTGAACCTGAGTCTGAAGAGGATGAGTACACCTTCACTGGTGATGATGTTGATACAAACCAGGCATCTACATCAACAGCTGCTCTATCAAGTAGCAGTCATCATCACCATCATCATCATCACGATAAAGACAAGGAAAAGGATAAAAAGCGAGATCACACCCATCACCATCATCACCACCATTCAACTAAAGAACGTAATCGGTCCCATTCACCACACACAGAAGCACAACGTGATGGTAACAGCACTGGTAATAAACGTCACACCTACACCAGTACATCAGCATCTGTCTCAGCTGCCGTTGTTGCTGCCGCTGTTGCTTCCAATTCTGCTTTAAATTTCATTCCCGAACCTGATACAAATTCATCCAGCTCTGAAGATCAGCCATTAAGTCGAAAAGAGGTAACTAGTATGGGCACTAAACGTAAAGCTGAAGTGTTGAAGGAGTCGGGTAAAATAGGTGTTACTATAAAAACCTCTCCCGATGGCCCGCCACCGTCTAAGCAACATTGTGCTGCTGCTGTCAGCGTGGATACAGCCACCTCAATATTAACCCCACTCAAATCGGAGTCCGAACCGCTTTCGCCAGAAACACCAGCTTCACGACCAGAACAAACAATACCCGCTGAGAAAAGCACAACAGTGCAACAACATTATAATGCGTCAACATCGGGAACTGCAGACGATGACGATTCATCCTCACAAGCGGATAGTCAAACAGATAATGGCCATACGGCGGCAAACACTAAGGGAGCGGGCGATGATGGCCCGTGCTCACCCAAGCGTAACGGTCACGTAACACACCAAAATCAACGGCAAAGCGCTTTAGCACCACTTTCGCCGAAAGCATTGCCGCCGCGTTTTTGGTTGCCTAATAAATGCAAAATTTCAGACAAAGTGGTGATCACTGATGTTACGGTAAATTTGGAGACAGTGACCATACGCGAATGTAAGACAGAGCGTGGTTTCTTTAGAGAACGAGACTTAAAATCGAATGGTATGAAGACGGAATCCGATTCTGCTGCATAAAAATAAATCATGAATCATGATTGTGCATGAACATGCATTTTACATTAACATTGTAAAATTGTTAACTTATCTTATTTATTTAAAAAAGACCTTACAACACTGCCGGTCTGTTTATCGGATCGATGCAAAGGTTTTATATCCCTTTACTCCTTTGAGTAATTTAGATAGTTGTACGCCACAGCAAGTATAACGAAAAATGTATTCATTTGTAAAAAATATTATTTAAAAATCCTATTTACATGAGTACAAGTGAAATTTATATTATTTATATTATCTTGTTACCTTTTTTCACAAGTGTAAATACATGTAAATACACTTTTATGAAATTGAATATAATATAATACATATACATATTTAAATATAGAGCTACATACAAATGATAAATCAAAATAAATTTATTAATATGCAGTTATACCAACATTTGAGTGCATGAGAAGATGATGGCAAAGAAATCGTTCTGAAAGAGCTGAATATACGGCAACCATTATAATTGATCCGCATTTTTGTTTTCGATTTAATTATCTCATGGGCCATAAATATGTTTAACTGTTCCAAAGCTGTGCAAGAAGTTTATAAATTTGCAATTTGAAATAGAGGAGAATCCAATTAATTGTTATATATTTACAGTACAGTAGAGAAGACATTCTGATATATGTATGGCTTACATAAACATTTAATCCTTTCTTACTAGAAGAATCGTATATATAAATATAAAAATAAATTCTACATTTATAAATATACAGAAAAGTTAAAACTTTATCGCAATACAATATATGCGTAAATCTCGCAAGCTTCTGTTGTACGAAAAATGTCTTTTTATAATATACATATGTATATACATATAAGCTATCAGCGAAACGAGCGGTTGCTATTTTGTCGACTAAGCTCGCATGTATTGACTACATTACCATACCGTTTCAACATCCCCGCTTCTGAGAACTGCGAAATGCATATTTATTTTCGATAAACCTAACGTTAGATTGCTGTTGAAGTAAGTTAGAAAACAATAAAATTTAAAAAACGGCTTATATGCATTTGTTATATATTTGAATAAATGCATTTCTTTTGTCAGTTTTATTGGTTTCGTAAGAAATATTTGCATATAACCCAACGTGATTATACAAAGATGGCAAGCATTAGATGAAAAACTATAATTACTTCATATAAGTAACTGCATTAAATAAGCAATTAAATGAAAAATATTGTATATTCTTAAGCAATATCTAGTATAATAGTTTGTATTGCCTGGCTTATATAGAATTACAATAAAATATCTCCTAATAGAGCTGGTGATTTTCAGGTCTTATGCTTATGCTTCAGAGTAATACAATACATTATATTATTCATTATTTCTCCGATGTTATATTATAGACATAAGAATTGTAATTTTCATTTGCCTAGAGGTTAACAAACCACACTAATTGTAATTTAAAAAATTAATGTCAGTAATCAACATATTATATTTTGTAGAAATAAAGCATAACTGTAAATACATTATAATCATAAACGAAAGCCATGAATTTTCTTCACTTAATTCACTTTGTTTATTAAAGATTTTTATTGTATTGTCCCCCTTTACCTACATAAATCTTCTCAGATTTAAAATTCATCATTCAAATGTTTAGTAGATTTGAGAACAGGTGCTACTTTGAACTGAGTAGGCAATTGAAAGTAAAGTCCTCTCTCGACGAATAAAAAGCAAACTCTTATCGCTAGTCGCTCATAATACCCGTTCTACTATATGGCGCAGAAGCCTGGACGATGCCGATATCTGATGAGTCGGCCCTGTGAGTCTGGGAGAGAAAAGTTCTTTGCGCATTAACAACGGCAAACACCGCGAACGCCGCAGGCGATGGAATTGGATGACCAGTACGAGTTATACGATGACATTGACATAATTCAGCGAATGAAGAGATACGGCTACGCTAGCTAGGTTATGTCGTCCGAATGGTGGATGGAACAACAACAAGATTTGAGAAAAAGACTTTTAGTTGGCTTTTCTTGCAGCCATGTTTTTTTAATTTAAAAAGTAATACCATTTCGCTATCATTACTTTTTTGCCTTTCCCTTTACTGCATTGTTCCGACCTTGGCTTACTTTTTGATCTATTTTAATTGCCGACGAAAGGCATTATGTTAATATTAGAATTTTTTCGATTTATTGTCCACTTAATGATTGAGGCATTATAACCAACCCAACGCTATGGACGTACTAACCACTCCGATTTTTTCCATAAAGCGGCATATAGGTAGACTTGCCCTAAATTTTTGCCACCAGCAAGAGCATTGGGATGTTCTTTATGCATATTACTTTGCAAAAACTTTCGGAATAAAACATACTTTTACACTAATATATATATGTATATGTGTCGCTGCATATTTATTGTTTGAATTTCATTAATTTATAAATAATAATATACAATAGTATTTGTACATGTATATATGAAGGTATGTATATAAGTATTACAAAACAGGCTTTTAGATGTTCAAAATGGTAATGCGAATGCTTTCAAACATGTGTATATTGTAACCAAAGGAAAATTTTTTAACAATTTTTCTAAAAGGTTAAAAACAACCAACAACATTTAACTATAAGTAGCTAAATAAAACCAGTTGAACAACTTTAGTAAGGCCAAATTTAATGCAAACAAATTTTGGGAAATGTACATTTACAGTTATTCAGAATACATTATCTATGCATAGAGTGTATTACAGTGGGATTAAAAGTGTTGGATAATGATGTGAATAGGTTTCGAAATACAATTTGAGACCCGAAGGATAAAATGCCTGTAATATTGTGATTCTGATGTATTTCCGGGTTAACAGTTCATAGATTCCTATATGTTGTATATTTATAAACATTTAGTTATTTTATGGATATACACACATACATGTATATATGTATATAACGTATGTATTTTAATGTGTGTAGCATTTTTTTTTGAATGTATGTGCGATATTAAAAAAAAGCAAAAATATCAATACTTTAATAAATTGGAGTAATTGGAATTGCAATTACTTTCTAAGAAAATTAAAATAATTTGAATTTTTTATGAATACTCAATTCTTGCAATATACTCTTCTCACTCTTAATTTCTCTCGCTCAGTTCGCACAAAACAATTGTTACAACTAATGGCTATTTGCTACTGGAACGAAATTTGTTATTGTTATTATCGCTTTCCTTCACTATTCAATAGTTTGTGATGACACATTTACGACGGTTTTTCTGCATCTTTTCAATATGCTCTTTAATTGGGGTTTTCTCATAGAAGCCTTGAACTATTGAGGTCACTGCCAAAACGGTTGCTATGAACTGGTTGATAGATATTTCCCAGCTATCTACATTTGTAGAGTTTTCTGAGCTACTTCCTGTGCCGCCCACACTGGAATTTTGTTTCAATTCATCTTCATAAGCTTGAAAGAGTTTCGTTGTAGCATTGGGCTCTACGGAGGGAGTGGTCGGATTGCCATTGCTATCAGGCTCATCACCACTACCCAAGTTTAGCTGGGTAAAACTATCCAGACTAATTTCCTTTTTCATGTTGTTATTGCCCAGTTCTAAGAGATTTTCATCTAGAAAGTGTTAATGATAATAAACATTAATATAAAAAAACACTAATATTTATTAACATTATTATAACATTATATAATATAGATCATTCAAAAAATAATAAAATATATGACCGCTGACCGTGTGTAGTCCAGCTTAACAAATTTATAAATTGTGATCGTATTAAAAAACCTGAAGCTAAAAAATATCTAATTAATTGCCCACACTCTCTACACAATACACTTTTTTTTGGCTATGAAATGAAATCAAATTTAATAAAATATAATTTTCACAACTTACATGCCTTCCGCATGTCCTCATCTTGTTCACCTACAATTTCCACTAGTGAGCGCCATAAAAATTGAAAATTTGCTTTTTTCATATTGGGAATATTTTTATTTGGTCCATTGCCATCATCTGGTTGGTCAATTAAATATCTCAGGCTGCCCAAACTTTTAGTGTCTGTCGTTGAGTCGTTGCGTTCCACCCGCGTAGCCATTATTAAATCACTAATTTGTGAGAAATTCGAAATTGTCTCTGCATTCATTTGGGATGGCATCACCTTTGCTGCCCCCAAGTCGGAAATATCCGAAAAAGTATCGGTGGATTCGAAGCGACCTTGTTGCCGCAACGTATTACCAATTAGATCACAAGTACTAGCCCCATTTTGTGAACGTGCCACTTCCATGGGAGCGCCATGATGTCGTGGCAAATCGACATAGAATGTAGACGAACGTTCACCATTAATGGCACCAACAATACCCGATGATGATGACTGTTGTGACAGGCCAGCTAAGCTGTGCAAATGCTTTGTAGCTGCAACAAGCGCATAATCGTCTTCGTCGAAATTGTTATCTGTGGGAGAGGGCAGGGCCTCGATGGATTCTGATGGATCATCACTATTGTGAGAAATTTTCAAATTTAAAAATTTATTATTAACTCGATAATAATATGATTATATGCACCCAAAAAAGTCTTCAGCTTCAATGGCTTCCTCAGCATCATCTTTTACTTTGGATTTGGGACGTCTAACATGTTCAATTTCAGCTTTCGATAACAATGGCGGCAAATGTAATATGTACAGCAATTTTAGTTTCTCAGTGTATTTGCGTGAGCATACCAAGCCCAAGGCATTTATGATTTGGGAAAACTCGATAGTACCGGTACTCTTTTTGTCAGTCAGCTGTTGATCGAAATATCGATAAAAAAACAATAAAATTATTAAACAATCATACATACGCACATACTATATGAACATATAGAGAATATAAGTAAAGAATTATAAAATATAATTTATTTGATGAATGTAAGGCAACATGTAGTTCAACTTGCAAGCTTTTTGTGGTTGAAGTGTTCATTGCATTAAATTTACTGTAGGAGGTTCGTATCGGCAAATATCAAAAACTCAACAATTAATTGCCTTCTTTACCTCCGAACAATTTGATTAGAAGTTAGCTTCAATTTTTCATAAGTCTACTAAAAGAAGCAAATGCACGTCTCTCACCCTAAATAATTTCTCCGCCAAATCAATGCCCACACAACTGCGCCAAGGAGTCAGTTCGTGGAATAGTGCACGGAATGTATCAAAATCGACGCTGTACGATTCAGAGCGGCTACAATTATTCTCCAAATAGCCGGAGCGTCCTGTGGATGTTGAAGGCAACAGTATTGGCGATTCACCGCCCAGCGCTGAGTGTGCCTTTTGCTGCAACACTTTACGTGGCATTGACTTTTCTTCACGTATAATGGTGAGTAGCAGGTGGAGTTCTTCTTTGTCAAAATACATATTTTCTGTGTGAAATTTAACAATTGTGTTCTCATTATCAATATCGAATTGACGTATGGTCAGCCGACGGTGTTTATTACGTAGTTCTTCGATTTTTAGTTGTGATATTTTTGAACCGAAATTCGTATACGCTTCGTGTATGAGCGTTTGTATGGGTTGTGTTTCGGTTTTTTTTTGCTTATCTGCCGGCGCAGGTAGACGATATTCAGGATTATAAATGCCGTCCAAATATTTGCTCAGCACCAGCATGGCTTCGCCGTCATCGTGACATTTTAGTAGTGTTTCACAATTCCATTCTAAAATTTGCAGTGCGATCTGTAGTAGAAAAATGTTTTAATGTAATTTATGTGCAAAAGTATTTATATAAGAAGGAAACAACAAAATCATACCACAAAAATTATCTTTGCGCCATCGTAGAAGAAACAATCGATTATATGTAAAGCACTTTCATACGATATGACACTTATGAAAATGGTCAATAGCCATGATAGTGAGATCATGCGAATTATGCCCAACTGGTCTAAATGGCTATGCAACTCCGGCAGATATGTCTCAACCAGTTCATTTAATACACTTTGATCAATTTGTGCGCCCACGACTTTATCTTTATAATAGTCCGGTAGTAGATTTTCACAGAGACTTGCAAGCAGCCAAAATGCATTCTCTTCATCACAAAATAGCAAAAAGACTGATGATACAATATTCATGGCTTGACAATAGCCCACTTGTGGATTACGCAAGGCATAAGCTTGTAATACACGTCTTAAAGCGCCTATGCCGTCGGCGTGATGGAATGCCGGATGCTCTGGTAGCGAGCGATGAAGATCACGGTCGATTTCGTCGTGTTGGGAGGGTTGCTTAATGCAAGCAGCCTAGGTGTAAGAAAAAATTATTAGCTTAACTACTGGAAGTCCAAGATATCTCGTAATTTTCAATTTTGTAACCTACTACTATCGAAAGTGGATATTTCGACGTTTATTTGTTTGTAAATAAATGAATATTTATCTTTTAAATTTGTATTGTTACATACCTTCTCCACCAAGTCTTCATAAAGTCCCGGATTCATGTCCTTTTCATGTATTGCACCGGAAAATAGTAGCCAAATTTCTTGACGCAATTTATCAGGGATTCCTTCCACAATTAAGTTGATCACATCCGTTGTACGAAACATAGAAATGCCACGTCCAAAATCACGGAAATGTGATTCCCAGCGGATAAGCTAAAATGAATTGTTGGTTATACACACAATGAAATAATAATATCCTGTTAAGCCAAAAACCTTCTGCTCTTGTATCTTTAACATTTCTTCGCTCAAATTCGTCTTGAATGAGTTCATTAGCGCCGCCTGTTTGCTCCAGGATATATCGTATTTTGGGCGTTCGCGACTAATAGGGCTGTGAATAAAAAGTAAAAAAAAGCTTAATATATCCATTTTTTTTATTGTTTAACTAAAACAGTATGCTTACACGTGAAATTGCGATAGTAGCTCGCTAATTTTTTCGACCAAAATTTCACGATCAACAATTTGTGCAAAGACGAAATGCACATTCTCAGCAGTATGTAAAATAATTTGATTATCATATCGATGTGGACCATCGTTTTTCTGTTCTACGCTCTGTGAGACCAAATATAAAAAAATTTGATTTCATAAAAATTAACTTTAAACAAACTTACTTTTATACTACGCATTGGAATTACGAGGCTGGCAAGATCGACTACGTCACTGCGGAAACAAAAGAAATTTCGCGACAAGTATATATTGCCACCAACATACCGTTTTGAATATGGTGTCCAAATGTTGGCTGGAAATGATTGAAAACATATTTCAGTTAAAAATTACAAAAAAAAAATCATATTAACTTAGTAATACCTTTTATTTGGCCGTCAATAATTTCCGTCTGTGGCAGACGAAAATAATTACGATATTCTTCAGACTTTTGGCGAGCCGTCAAATCTCGCAAAAGTCCCGGCTTATTTGATGCTTTACGACCGAAACGCTGAAAAACTGAGGCATCATGGTCGACAATTGGACTATCAGGATCCTAAGGGCAAAAATATGAAACATTTTTATAATTTTGGCAAATGTGGTTATGCCGATAATAACAAACTTGTATCAATTGCTGTATAGCCATTTTATTTAATTGTTCAATCAATCCGTATGCCTCTTTTACATCTTTTAATAATGTAAAATTATAATGCATATTATTAATGGTTTTCAGGTATATAATTTGGCCGTGTCTTTTTATGTCTTCCAACTCAGCAAATCGTATGACGCGCTTTGTTTCGCTCCCCAACATATATGAATAGAAACAGATGTGATTTAAGGAAATATACAAGTTTCCTTGATTCGGTATTTTATTCTTAACATAGCTGCAAGTAATTATGGATGTATATATAATATGTTGATTATTAGGGATTATATATACATATATATTATTAGTAACTGTGTTGCTTACGTGCATGCATATGTATTAACTAATCGTTCTTCTTTTGGCATCTCGAAGAGAGTTTGAAACTTCGATGCAGCCACCTTGAAATTGGCTGATTCATCTGTGTTATCCAGGTTATTTTGCGCATTTAAAGATTGTATTTTGCATATGGTGAAATTGGTGATCTCTTCCTCACTCTCCATTTCGTTGAGTACTTTAAATAAATTTTCAGCAAGCCATTCCCAATCTTTAACGATTTCCTCTTGTGTTAGGCCAATAGCAATTTCTAATTCAGAGGGGGAAAATATTGGATAAAAAATTATTTACATTTTCGGTGTATTAACACGCATTGAAAGAAAATAGTAATAAATACTGGTTATATATGAGCAAATGGATATTTCAGAAATTATCTTCTATATATTTATGCTGTAAGGAATTTACGTTTTCAATACGTTTTTCGATTTCGCACTTAGGTCGGAGGTCACGAAAATGTATTGAACAATTAAAGATATGTTTAAATAAATACTTAGTTGTTATAAATTGCTTTTAATTGGGAATTTATGATACAAATACAGGTTCTGCTATAATTTTATACATTTGTTTGAATATTAAAATTTTTCTTTCAGATATGCTCATATGTATATTGTAAGTTGAAATATGGACAGATGTGATTACCATAATATACTTCTGATCTTGGAGTTTGATGCAGAATACGATATGGTGGTGGCTTTGTATCCCAGACGCTGTCCAATGTATTGACCAGGAGTGAAGTGAAGCTACGTGTTTCACCATGGCCTCGTCGTTTTTGAAGTACAAAATATTTCGAACGCATTTCGTCAACCCTTCAGCAAGAGAAAAATTAAATAATGTACATAAAATTAGACAATAAAAGATTTAGAAATGAATTTTTAATTGATATGACCCTACAGCAGTGTTCTGCCTGGGTTCAATAATTTTCTGATAAGAACAAGTGCGTCCGACAATGAAGTCTGTAAGTATGTATACATCAATTTATATTTATTTATACAAACTGATGCACATTGTGTATATAAGAGTATCTATGTACATACATACATTTCCACTGATACACAAATGCAATCATGTACGAATGTATCATCGAGTGGCACGCAAAACCAGCTGTTCACTCGGTGCTAATTCCTTTATGTTTGCATTTTTATAGCTAAAAATGTGTATGCTACTCCCATTTAGTTGCTGCGTAAAAAAATAACCATTGAAGGTAATGCAATACAACCAAATAACTGTAATTGCTAATGAAAATAAAAGGTTAAAAACGTAGTGTAAATACGTCGTAGTTTCGATTATTTATTCCCTCATGGAAATATCCTATTTATATATTTGCTTTGCATAACTTACCAGAAGGCTGGTGGTATTAGTATTTCTTTTGGATGTATCCACATTTTGTTACTTTATACTTGCAGCGTCTTCAAAGAATTTCTATACGCTATTATTCAGAAGTTCTGTTTAAAAGCTCGAAATAGTCTTCGTAAGTATTTTTTTTTTTCAAGAAATTCTTTATCTTTCTGCTTCTACTTAGCTAGTAAATAAAGTATTGCAAACTCAGCACACGGACACCATCAGCTAGCACCGGGACACTGTGAATATAATCTTTTATTTTGTAATTTCTAAACGCTTGAAGTTTTTTGCACTCATTTGTGTAAATAATATGTCTAGCTTTAAATAGTTTGTGAACACTTAAAATGCATTTATTGAAGTTTATTTTCCAATAATGGTTCCAAGTAAAATCTATAATAATTTTCCACGGCGAACTGCACTTTTCAGCGATGATTACAAATACAAGAAGATGAAAAACTTGACGTCGTCTGTCGTGCCCATTGTGTTCGGTTGTTCGTAAATTCATTCGTTGCCGCATATGTTTGTGTTTTAACCTTCTTTGTTATCTTTTATTTGTTTTCTTATGTTTTTATTGGCTCCTCTGTTTTGCTTCTTTGTTTCTTCTCTGATTTTTTTTGCATATTGTTGCCAGGCTGTAGATTTTGTTTAAATTTTATGATCGATAATAGCAAAAAAAACCATATCGATAACGAATCGAATATTTTCGCAGTGGACTGGTTATCGTGAATCCGAAGCAATTTCTTCATATTCGAAGAACTTTTTTCGGGATTTCCTTCACCGAATTACTGAATTTATTGGTTTACGTACCCATATTTTTTTCGCTGAAGCGTTTTCCTGCTGAATTGCTCCCATTCTATCTTTGTTTTCTAAGAGAAAACATGTTACGCTTGAGACAACTGCTTACATGAAGACGAGTATACTTTTTTCGGGGAATACAAATATATAGCGGGAAGCACATATGTATCCAGTATCCCAATGGTAATCCTGCCTACTGCCCAGTTAGGTCCTCTTCAATAACTTTGAAAGGCTGTAAGACTCGAGTGAAATTCAATGCCGAATACGAACTTGACTTTACCCCAACTTAAGTTAAACTTTAAAAAAATTTGAATCTATAGCATGTAATTTAGTTTCAATGGAAATAAATATAAAATCCTCAGTTCAATTTTAAAATCTTAGTGTAAAAAGAAAAACTTAAAAACCGCAGACTATTAAAAAAATTAGTGAAATAAAAGACATTTACAACTTAGTAATTTTTGTCAGAGAAGAGAATATTTAAAAAATTGTGTATTTTCCTAAAATTTTCTATGTATTTTTTCTTTCCGCTCTATCTTAACTAAATCTGTGATTTCATTGTTTTATTCCTGACAATACAAAATTCCTGGAGCAGACAGCTTTCATTTATAATCGACAGCCTCTCGACACCTCTAAATAAATTTGTTCAAAATGTTGAAAAAATTTGTGACGCTACAATCGGACGTTAGTCCCTCGAAAAATCCATACGAAGTTTGCACCTACATGGGCGATAGCCCAAATTCGGTTGACTGGAAGATTGAAATGTGTGAAAAAGTACGCAAATGCGAGCGTCCTGAGAACTCAACCATCTCAAAAGTTATGACCATTGAAGACGAACTACGAAGGCTAAATCAAAAAGTGAAGGAGTCACGCTTTCAACGTGAAATCAAAAGGAAATGTTCAAAAACTGACGATTTCATCATGTGTACACAGCCTTTGCGCACACCGAGCGAACTCAAGGAACATTCAATTATGCGGGAGCGATTTTTAAGAGTCGCTTACGATCTGACGCGTCGCGTACATGATGGTTCTGAAATACCCCTGAAGGCGCCAAGTCATATCGAGATTGCAAGTCCGGTGCCAAGTCAAGATGAAGGCGAAGGAGAGGACTCAAATGAAGAAGAAGGCGAAGAGGGAAAAAAATCTGTTAAGCCACAAATTGCAAGCCCTTCCTGCAGTTTAGACGTTATTTATAAACCTTCAGCAAAATTGGTAAGTTTTGGGTTTGATTATTTTTCAAATTTAGCTTTTACTTCACGATCCTTTGCGTTTTAATTACTTTTACCGAATAGCAGCAATGTTTAATCCGGCTGAGTAAAGACTTCAACCATGACCGCCATATCTAAATTTTCAATTCGCTTACCGCGTTTTCCCTAGCCTGTTTGGCGCCAGTTGGAAATACCAACTGAAACCAGATGGACAGTGCAGCGGGTGCTGCAGCGAATACTTTCATAACTACAGGGCTTTCATCTATTCGGACGATGTCAACATCATCGTATAACTCGCACAGCTCATCGTTCAGTGCGGTATTCGCCGTTGCCAATGCGCAAAGAGCTATAAGTCCTTCGAAAAACTCTTCCCCCAAAGAGTTCTAAAGCCGATTCATCATATGTCCACATCGCCCACGCTTCTGCGCCATATAGCAGGACGGGTATGATGAGCGGCTTGTTTGGTCTTTGTTCGTCGATAGCGCCTATTCAGCCCAAAGTAGCATCCGTTGGCAAGAGTGATTCTGCGTTGTATTTCAAGGCTGACAGATAGAGGAAATTATCTGCGACCTCGAAGTTATGACTCTCAATAGTGACGTGGGATCCAAGTCGCGAATGCGATGACTGTTTGTTTGATGAAAGGAGATATTTCGTCTTGTCTTCGTTCATTACCAGCCTACGCTTCGGCGCGGTTGTCAAAGCCTATGATATCAATATCGTCGGCATACACTAGTAGTTGAACACTCTAGTACTTTGTCTTTGCCTATTTATTATTGATTATTTTCTTCAGCAGTAAATTGATGAAATCGCACCATAAAGAGTCACCCTGTTTGAATTTTAATTCTGACTGCATGTTCTGGTATTATCCAGCGTCAGTTTACACAGCCGTATAAGTTTTGCGAGGATACCAATGCAGACAGTTCTAGATAAACCAGATTCCTCTAAATAAGTATAAATCCATCTTCACAATATTTCATTCATAGATCTCATTTGTTCATTGTATTTAAATTCTTACTTACTAAATATGGAAACAAATGTACATTTCTTATATACTATGATAAGTAGGTTCTCATTATAAGCTCTATATTAAGGCGGTGGATTTTTTTATACTAAATTCAAAGGCCCATGTGTGAAGTTTCCCCTACATAGAAACTAAGTTCGTATTCTACTCGTATACCAAGTATATTTAAATGAAAAACTTAAAGAATTCTTATTCACTCAATTAGAACAATATCATCAAGATCGGCTGCATACAAAGCTCCAACATCCGACTGGGTACTGTCCACAATGGGCTCATCACTTGTTGACGCCAGGGTCAGTTGCTTGTAAGCTCCTTCAACAGCCTGATTTTGCATATGCACACCCAATTGTGAGATCAATTCCAGCGCCTTGACATCAGCATTGAGTAGGGCAAACTGATGTATGACGGCGAGGTGAGGAAATATGCTACCCAATACAGCTGTGGTGCCGGCGTTCATTTTGATTTGGCCACTATTATCTTCTGGGGTAGTGCTGTTTGTAATGCCTAGTGTGCTTGTATCTGTGTTAGATGAACAGCCACTAGAGTGTTTGGAATCACACAACACCAAGGCCTCCGCATCGTTTTCTATTTCCTCGCGCACCTCCTCGACCTCACCGTCGTCATCGCTGAAAGCGTAATCTATGCTATTCTCATTGCTGGCACTTTGCCTTGGGATCTTTGTTTTTTCTAAGTCTACACCATCCGTAACTTTGTCGAGTGAGGTGATCGCTGATATTTCGGTTTGCATGAAATTTGGTAAAGCGTCCTTAAATTCAATAATAATATCCTCCACGGCCAGTTCACCGTCCACGGCATCCGGACCGGAGGTACCTAGATCTTCGGCTGTGTATTTGTATTTGCCCCGGAAACGATCTAACCAACGATAAGACGGTCGAAAGCTTGGTAAATTCAAAAGAGTGGCCATTTTGAGCGCTGTGGCCTTAAGAGTTTGATTTGTTATGCTTTTCCGTAAGCGCAACACTCGACAACGTTCCACCCACTCATGTAGAATGAAGCTTATGGCGGTCATTTCGAATTTTCGACGTTTCCGTGCCATCTCTTCGATAAAGTTAGATGCATCCGATTCACTAAGAGTGGCCAATTGTTGGAGCAGTTCGTCTTTGTGTTCGAGGATGCGTCGTATTTGTGTAGCACAGCAATGGAACAGTTTCGCCAAACGGTTACGCGAAACGCTCGTCTCATCATAGCAATGAATGACAGCGATCTTCTCATAGAATGTGAGTATATTGCGTTCATTGCGGCGTTTTACCTGAAATACAGAATATAATATATATGTATACAATATGTATGAATATTTCAAGCGGGATGGCGATCGTTCAATAAAATCTTATGTTAAAGTGAGGATAATGGAGCATTTGATTGGAAGGAGGCCGGAGTTTATAGGTAACTGTCCTACGACCATCAGCTCAATGATGAGACGGTACATCGATGGCACATAGTTGAAACACCAGATGCTCTCGCACATACACTTGGATAGTTCAAAAAGAAGTTGTGCCGAACAATGAGGGTATTTGTTAGAGATCGCTTCTCAGCTGGATCCTTATTTTATTGCCTCTGTCTTATGTTTTGATCTCATCTTCTCAGACATCACGAGCTTTCTTTACTAACTCCGGCGTTTCCGTATAATAAAAAAATTCTATCTTAAAGGATCAATAGCAGCAGTTCAGCCCCTTACAAAATAAATCAGTTGCTGACCATTGGCATTCAGCAATCATCTATACTAAGCCATAAGCGAAAAGCCGAAGAAGTAGCACTCAATCGCATATCTATCTATGTGTTAGTATGGATGTACATGTGTATATGTGTACGTGTTGCTGTGTTATTACAACTAGTGGTGACATAAACTAAAAAGCTGGCTGTCGCAATGGCAACGAGTCTATTTGGCTGTTGCGATTGCTATCATATTGAGCAATGTATACATAATTACTATGCAATGTACTTGTAATGGTGTATGCCCCGTAAAAACAAAAAAGTAACCCTCAATATGAACTCGACCAGGATAAAAAAAAAAACCCACGTAATTCGCTTCTTTAAAAAAATAAAAAAAACATAAACTGCACTAAATTAAACTAAAAAAATTAATAAACAAAAATTAAACTAAAAAAAAAAATTATATTAAATAAATTGACAAAAAAAAATTATAATAAAATAAATGAAATGAAATAAAATAAAACAAAATAAACTTAATAATATATATCTATAAATGTAACCATATAATACAAAATAAAATAAAATAGAGTGAAATAAAAAATATAACATAAAATAAATAAAAATATAAAAAATTAAAATAAAAAAAAAATTAAATAACTGAATTAACACCAAACACCATATTTCAGTTAAAATTTGCAACGACAGTTTCCTGAAATTAGGAAGGATATGTTAAAATGCAAATTTCTTCATAAACTAAGAATGCTCTGATTTCTTAGAGAAACCGTTAAGAAATAGCGGTTGAGGATTAAGAAATAACTTATGTAGTTCCTAACTAAAATGCAAAAACAACTCAATCATAATGCCTATTGGGTAACATGTAAAGAACATACATATATATATATATATATATTATGCATTTACAATCATACATATGTACATAAGAAGAATGTACAATATAACGACACCTTTATGATCAATGGATTGTTTGTTGATTTTTCATCTGATTGTTTCCTCGGGGTATCCCTTACAAAAATGCGTAACGCGTGAAATATTTAAAACATCGTTTGTTATTTAAAATAACTTACCCCTTTATTGGCACTTTTGGGCGGCTTAGCGGTCATAATTCTGTGTAGTGGCAGTTTTTAGTTTGAAATACGTTGAAAATTTTTTTTATTGCTTCAAATGTGGAGTGTTTTGACGTAAGCGAGGCGGCTCGCATATGTGCTCCGCACAAAGATGTTGTTTTTTATTACTATGAAATTATGTTTGTATGTGCGGATGTAGTTGCTCGCATTATTTAGAGAGGTTTCAATTACTTATTATTTGTTGTTTTATCAAATTTTCTTCATCGCTCTTCTATCTCTGATATGCCTTTCCGCTAAAACGTGATAAATATTTGATTTATTTTAAATACTTTTATTGTATTTAACTGAAAATTTATTGCACAAATGAAACAACTGTTATTTCTGAAAAATTCAGCTAATTCTGCACTTTTGTATATTTGTGTTTTTGTACCGTGTTTTTGCCGTGCGCGCAAATACTAGCGATGATTTGTATTTATCTCCGTTTCTTCTACTTTCCCACTGATTTCCTGCTATTTGTTGGTTTGTTCATAGCTCAGCCCACTGCTTTGCTTGTTTGTTTGCTTGTGTGTGCTCTTATGCACTTTCCATTGTTGTCAAACCAAATCGAGACGAAGTGTAGGCAACGAGTACAGATTTCAGAGCAGTAGAATATAGTTGAGCTGCTGGTTAATAATAGTTGTATGAACACTTGGTTTGTTTGTCGTTAAATATGAAGGTTTTGTTGTTACAGCGATTGGTAACGAATACGCTCTTTAAATATATATCATATATATGTACATGCGGTCATACAGGTGTAGTGTACTAGCTGCAGCTTCAACGATTATTATTAAACATAAGCTTCCGTAAAACAGTCGCTTCTCCTCCGATTACCCTCAGATTTGTTTGTGCTTTTTCTGTTCTTTCTTCTACCTCCCACGTATGTATGTAGAACTTCAGCTACTAAGCCTGTGTGGTCACAATCAGAAAACGAATGTATATCTTGTATGTATGTATGCGCGTAGCTCAGCTGATGCTCTTTACTGGTTGTCCATAATTCGATCCGATCATTTGACACTTTGTACTGTATGAAGAGTCGTGTGTAGAGAGTGAGAGCTCTATCCGACACAAACGGATACTACCAAACGAATTTGTACCAAGGAAAAACTAGTGTGATACTCGGTTTAGTTTAAGGCTCGGTCGGTGAATTAGACGAGTGGCTTTAATCGTCAGGTTTCCTTTCACAGCTATGTCTCCCCACCACCTGGTTTATCCATTTGTTATTGGCTTTTATTGAATATAATTTACTCTTTTATTGTTATTATTCTCACTTGTTTCGCCTCTCACTCCTTGTCGGTTCGAATTTGATATCCAATAACTCACTTTAGCTTTTCGGCGTGTAATGCTTAACTACTGAGCAACGCGAAACGACTAAGTGACACTGGTGTTGGTTCGTTCTGTGTGTGTTGATTGGTCTTATGAAATATAGAAACCGTACACACAATGTTTATATGAGAAAAACAAACCCACAATAGCAACAACAAGGGACCAACACATACGTGTAAATGTTAACAACAAAGCAACGTAACATCAACGACGGCCCCAGAACAGCCACGACGACTGTAGTATTCGTGGTTACAGACGTACTGAAAAACACGTAAATGTACTTATAGAAATGTGTTATGTTTGCATGTCTGTCTATATCAGTCAGCGAGTACTCAAAACCTACACGCATATGCCTGCAGTATAAGCGATAAGTTGAGAACAACAGTAAAACAGTGCTAGGCAACAACAAAGTGCAAACAGAATACACATACAGTCAGCCAGCCGGCCAGCTAACAACAACCAGCCGTGAGTGGCATATGCTATAACCGACATGGCATCGAGCTCTAGCACAGAGAAGCTCCATGCATGTATATTGCCACTATGCGGTGTGTCTGTGTGGTAAAATGAATGCTTAATATCTACGACAACCGAGTCGTAGTGCCGTAGTGGTATGGCGAAAACTCGTCACGTAAGCCAATATGAGTATTAAAATATTCAGCCACTCCAACGACAGTGACTACGACGACGACACAAGCAGCCCAACCAGCAACCAACAAACAACCACCGGCGGAGGTAGATATACCATCGGTGGTAGTAACCGTCCATGTCGAAATTGTTGTAGTTGAGAAGTCGATATATAGCCGTAAAGCACAAAAATGCACTAATACGCATACACGAGATGTTCTACTAAACCTAGAGCGTACGTACTACTAGTAAGCAACAACGGAATGTTTCGATATTAACTGTTTGTGTGTTGGTTGTTCTACTGTTGGTGCGGTAGGGTGGCCGCTTGCTAGCCTTCCGAAAAACAACACGGCCACATACACATTTGAAGACTTTAAGGCATGCGAACACCTTGGCTTCGCTTTTACACGGCCGCCACAGTCACAATCGCAACCACAGTCACGACACGATGCGAGAAGGCAAGGTGGTAGCACTTGGCAAAACAGCGCAAATGGGTGCACACCTGTATACATCGTACATACTCGTATGTACATATGTACCTATACACGTGTACGAGTATGTATTTGCACAGTAGGCTTTCGTGGTTGAAGACGGATGTGAATTTGGACAACTGGGCTAAAGTTATATTTTAGATTGGGATAAAAGCGCATGTCGTGTCATGCCCAAAGCCATATTAGCACACACAGTTAAAGAATATTAAAATAATATAAAAATCATAAAATAACATAGAAAATCCATTAGCATGGCGGAGGTGGCTTAGAAACCGACCGATCGAAAATCGCTTCAGCGGTTATAAAGCGAATCCCGAAATTTTATATTTCTGCACTCGATTGGATTCTCGTTGTATAGTTTGTATTTTAAAAAAAAACTTTTCTGATATATGTACATACATATATATATAATATAAGTACAATAGCATCTATGGCCCTCAACTGAGATCAAATGGCATACGTTTTTCCAAAATTTATTTTTGTTCGTTTACTCAATGTAAAAATTCAGATAATTGCTGTATAGCGATTTCAATGCACAGCAGCACAAATAGTGCACAAAAATCAGCTTATAGCGTACATAAATTGTAGAATTTTTACGTAGAAATAACTTAACAAGGATAACTGTAAAGATTTTACTACCAAATCACCACTTCAGGGCCACTGTCCGTAACTCAAGTGTATTATTAAAATATCAAATGCATGTGAAGTGCGCAAACAACGAACAATTTGACGATTTTCGTTTGCACAATTGCTACTGAGTGCAAAGGTATTAGTGCAACTGTGAAGTGTGAGAGTCGAGAGCGCAACGACGCTGATGCTCTTGCGAATTCTTGAAGGCTTTGTCAAACACTACAATGCTGTGCTAAGGCGGTAATTAAGAAAAAAAAAAAAAAAACACCAACAAGAAAGCAAAACAGAATTGCGACTGAATGCCTAAAAGTGCAGAAATTTCACTTTTCCTTCCTAAATGTGCGTGTCGCCCTTCAAACGCCCGTTGCAGATTTTGCGGGAGCAAAGCTTGGACGATAGTGTTTTACACGGTCCAATTGATTACGCCTTTCTCTCCCTTCGTTCATTCTTTTAATGTCAATGTTTGAAGTCGCGCCATGTAAATGATTTCAACGATTTGTCGTTTATCTTTGTTGTTTTTATGTGTGCTAACATACATCTTCATATTGTAATTTTTGCTTCATTTGTTAATCCCTTTTATATTTTTTATTACAGACTTTGTTTCTCTTGCATAAAGATAGGAAACGAATAGTTCAATTAACGTTGTGTTTTTTATTAGAAAGTTATTGCTAAGGAATAAGCCCTTTTTTAATATATACATATGTACATGTTATATCTGTCATGTACATGAAATGGTAGATATATAAACTTTGGCCCGAAGTACTTATGTACTATGTACGTAGGTATGTGCCATAAGGAGAGAAGCAGGCCAATCCAAATTAATACCGATCGCGTCAGAATCACGAGTAGAGTTGAGTTGGCCATGTCCATCTGTCTGCACGCAAACAAATCCCATATAAATATAAACGATTTTTTTTTGATTGAGAGTAACAAGTGAAAAAAAATTTAAATTAAACTGCTATGCAGCCAAGAGCCTTTCATCTTACAAAATTTTTAAAAAAATTTTTATCTTCCTCAAAATATAGCTAACTAAAATAACTCAAATGTTAAATGAAATAAATTTGTTTAAGATAACATCCAATCAACTGACATTGTTTTAAAGTTTTACCAGCAAGTTCTGAACAAGAAAAGGTGGAAATAACAAAAATTTTAAATAATAAATATTTAAATATTAAATTAAATATTTGCTACAAATGGAGGGATCTAAAGTTTAAATAGGCGACGAACTGGATTTTCATGAGATTTCTTCTCCACAAATTTCTCTTCGGATAAAATACATAAAAGTTTTGAGCTTGCTTGTTGAGTCTGCTGTACAAGAATATCTCACCGATGGTTGTGAAATTTTACTTTATCTAATTTATGCATATTCCTGTACGAGTACGTAGTTATAACAAATACCAATGAGATGCTTGCGCTTTTTTGAATTTGATAGAGTGACCATATGCAGGGACTCTTGTTGTCCAGTCTATATCGTTGTGTATTTGTACAAAGGCACACAAGTTTGAATAATACAAACTATATCGTTTATTAATACTATTTTTCAAAATTAAAAAAAGTTAAATCATTGAAAATTGTTGCCAAAGATCAATCTCGGTATTAAAATGACAATTCAAAACACAATAAAGATAAGTTTTTGAATTACAATTATCTATTCGTTTTGCTCCACTGACCTGTTGATTACGTTGGCTATGGGCCGTACTTTATTACAAATATTCATTTTTTGCGATCATTAAAACCTTTGCCTAGTCAGAGCAGCTTATAAGCCATAATATGGTAGAACACATTTCGTATGTACAATACACATATGTGCAGGTACATATATAATAATATAGATATGTATATCTAGTATAGGAATATTGACAATTATTTTTTTTTAAATGTAGTACATATGCGTGTGTGTATGCAAGTACATATGTACATATTTCATACGCTCATTTTCATTTCCCATTCATACATAATACATACATATATACGTGTATGTAAGTATGTATGTGCGTAAGAGTATCAACCCAATGTAAGCACGCACAGGTGCACACAAGAGCATTGTTTTCGGTTACTTATATAGATACATATGTATGTATGTATTTATAAACAAATAAATGTTCTAGGTGGAGTGGAGTGGAGTGGAGTGGAGTGGAGTATATAGCAAACGCGCTCATTTCACGATAAGATATTTTATACATACTGGTATGTACATATACTCATTTGCTTGCTTTTACAGGTGTTTTAGCGAAGTTGATGAAATATGCCAGTTATGCATAAATAAACACATATACATGTGTAATTTTCTTTTATATTTTGTTCTTAATTCCGAATAGTGAACCCAAAATTGAGATTTTTTTCATCATTAGCTCTGTTCGTTGAGAAAGATCAGTAAGAGTTAAACAGTAACGAAATGTGAAAAATTGTGCTCTATCAGCGCAAACTTTATTGGCTTTTTGTCGCGCAGTTCAGAAAAATTGATGGCAATTCGCCCATCAGCTCAACACGGACAGATCAGAGCAAAATTACAATATAATCAAATTCAATATTAAAAAATTCTAATAAGTGAAAAAGTACACTTCCGAAAACTCCAAATTTAGGAGAAAGCATAAAATCTCACACTCGGAAAAGCTCGTTCGAAAATCGCTCATATCATACCTCCTTCAATTTATTTATCAAATGAATTTGGTATTCATCCAAAGTCTTGTAACTCAAGTTTCCCTTTTCATAATCTAAGTGGTGCAAGTGCGTAGGGAGCCATTCTGCTGCTGATATGACATGACAACGGAACAATGACAACAACTTTAGACCTAACACTTTCACTTTAAATGAGCCATTAGAACACTGCAGAAATAATATTATTTAATTTATTTAAACACTTCTATCAATAGAATGCAGTGGAGACCCTATAGCATCAATGAAGAAATTTCTCGGAAGCGTTTTTAACTTTTTTAAATCTAGGGATGCTGGACAAGTTAGTTGTATACCCATGATCATGTTGGGGTTATAACAAAAGCTGATTTCCGCCAGTTTCGTAATCGTGACTAATTTCTAATTTTATGAGTAAAATCTTCTGATCATCCCTGATTATGAAATAGACGATTTGATGGTCGCGGTTCAATAAACCTTGCAACGTTCCGCTTACGTACATGTATCTTTTCGCAACAATTTCGGAAGTTTTTTGTGCTGTAAACCTAGCCGGAGAATAATTTTACGTTTCACATCCATAATTCTTAAGATTTTACCATTAAACGAAATGTTAAATAAAATACAGGAAAAAAGTAAAAAAATTGACGACGGGTAGTAAAAATTATATGTACATATGCGATTCTAAAGAGATACGCACAGTAATTATATTGCGATTTAAAGTACAGCTTGGTTGTTTGATACACAATTTACCATTATTCATCAGGTTATGCCTTTTTCATGATTATCCATGTGTTTTTCCTTAAAAAAAAAGGCCGCCTCCGAACGTCTGTACACTCGGAGGGGTTGACATTTTCTGCCGAGGGGCGACCGCAGTGAGAAAATTCAGCTACCGCAGCTATCTAGCAAATACAAATCTTAATTTCCACTTTAAAATTGTATATTTTCTTTCTTAGCTGGAATTAAAACGGCCCAAGAGCGGCATGTTTCATAATCAAAGCGAACGACCCCCACCGCCGCTGGATGAAGATGATATCCCTTACAGCAGTTACAATCCGCGTATATTGCAACAGAAGTTCGACGATCAAAATTTGGATAGAGTGGATTTGATACAGGGACGTGATCCTAATGATCTGTGGACATGGAACATTGGACTACAGCAGAATGAAAGTCAGTTGGATCGTGCCTTCCTCGATGCCTCTGTGCCGAAATTCGGTAAGTAATGAGAGATAAGCTTCTTAGCATGAGTTCCAATTAAAGGTTAGCATAGCAATAAATTGAAAATGCAGATTGCAGACATCTAGAGCTAACCACATTTAAAATACCCAATGATTTGGATAAAACATTCACCGCTGAAATTGTATTTGGCACAGCAGCAATACAGCCAGATGATAAGCCGAAATCGAAATTTAAGTAAGTAAATTAATTTTGAGATTGGTTGATTCAATTTTAATTCTTCTCCCTTGCAGTTATTTCAATCGGCCAAAAGAAATCGCTTGTCTTTACGCCGCTTACGTCGAAAGCTTTCGCTTTAATCCCGACTTTTGGACCTCAGACACTTTGGATGGGATTTTGACAACCGGAGAAAAAGTATTGAAGAAAAGTGTAAACATAAATTACAAATCCGAAGAGAATGAATTCGATATTATACCACAAATTGTTGATAAGCAAGCCGAAATTAGTTTTAAGATCCACTTTACGGGGCCTCTCGATTCCGAGCCGAATATATACAAAGTGCTTTCGCTCTATTTCTTAAAGTACAATGCCGCTGTACTAGTCGCGAAGGGTATTTACATGCTGATCTGGAAACGTTGTACGAACACATTCTACATTTTCGATCCCTACGGTCGCGACGAACTGTGTCAGCGAGACTTTACGAATGGTAGTTGCTCCCTAATGGCCGTCACTTTCGTGGAGCATTTAGTACATTTGATCATCAGCTTCAGTAAAGCCGATGTGAAAGGTGAAATTAGTTTGTATGAAATATCGGTGAAAAACTTCGGTAAAATAACTAGTCCCATAACGAGCAAACCGTTCCCGAAGCGCACACATCGTTTGTGGGCAGTAGTGAATGGTACTTATGCCATCATACCGGCAGCTAATAATGGTATTCAACAACCGATAACGGGCAATGAGCAGAATGCTTCTATACTCATCTCACTGCTGGCGCTTCTGTACTCCAACATCGAGCGCGCTTCGACTTGGCGCATGGAAATCATTGACGAGTTGATCAAATTCGGTCAAGCCTTTTACAAGACTTTCGTGAAACGGTTGAAGCTGAAGAAGAAGCAACACATGAATATTGTGGATATACCGGATGTGATTATGCTCGGCGCATTCCGTGCAACAATGAAAAAACACCCATTCCTTTACACCGGTCATGTGACCAACTGTAAGTCTTATGTCGAGTCTCAGCTAACGTCAGTTGTGCGTGATCTCTTCGTGAGCAATCACGATGCAGCACTCTTGCAAATCGATAACTCGGTGATCGCAATTTGGCGCGATACGGAATACTATTATCTCTTCGATCCCTTCCGACGTGGCAAAGCCGGTCAAGTGCTGGATCCAGAAGATTTTCTAACGAAAGGTGTTGCTTGTCTGCAAATGCATTCGAATTTCGAATCGTTTTGCCGCATACTCTACCAGAAAGCGCTTAAAATGCGCCGTGGCGGTAAGTTCTTCGTACACGGCATAAGTATCGGCTGCATACGTCCGATGCTGTCGGCGGCGAATATGAAGAATAAATATCCTCGTTTACAAATCGCATATCCGAAACTAGCTACCAAGTCGGATCCTGAAAAACGCCTTTCCAAGAAGGGCAAAAGTAAAAAGAAACTCGGACGCACATTCAGTATTGAGACAATACCGGATGAGGATCGTATACCTGAGTTTGAGGATGTGGATGTCGTCAACAGTGTGTTGGAGGATATTTTATGCGAGATACTTGAAAGCATGATCGAGCCTACTCCCAGTCGCTTGCAGTTATACAAACAAGCCGATAAAGTTTTGCTGCGATCTGATAAGGAATATTTGGAGGGCTTGCGTTATAAATTATTACACGGTGAAGATTATGACAATGTCTATGCGGAGTTTCAGAAGCAGCCGTCGCCACCTCCACGTCCACTCACACTGGAGGAAGAGTTGGAGATACGCACAAACTTTGAACTGCTACCGGAAGGCTCATGGGTTGTCATGGGTCAGTCGTACATACCACAAGAGGAAGCTGAAGTGAGTAAGTTAAATGGTCTGCTCTCCACTTTGGTTGCGACTGCCATGAGCGCTAAATATAACATTTCCACGTGGAACAAAGAGCTGGTCGACTATACCGTGGAGTCATCTAATAGTTTTGGCGAAGAGTTCTCCAACTATGAGGCAACTTTGAGCGCATTCCTCTCCAAGAATATGCCAAAGATCATTATTGGCAAGAATATTTATTTGCTACATTTGGAACGCGTGATACAAAGCTCCATGACACGCACATTACGTCAAATGTTACTCGAGAGTCTTATAACCTATAATCGGTTAATTGTCATTTGTCAGATGTTCTCATGCCTGATTGTTAAACGTTATAACTTTCTTTATATGTTCATTGGTTTTCCATGCACGCCGGTGGGTTATCGAAAGTTCGGCTCCGGGCCGGGTTGCCTGCTACGCTTCGTTGAATTGGATTCCCTTATAAGACGCATAGAATTCGGTTGTAATCCACAGGGCTGTGAAATAACCAACTATGTCGCGGTAGCCATAAAAGTATTGGACGTGACAAATATACCACCAGATCGGTACCAAAACTGGCCACCACAAGTTGAAGAGTCCGTTTATGCTGCTGAAAGTGATCGTAAACAAAAGTTAGATAGATTGCGCATGGATAAGATTCGTTTCCTCGATAGGGAGCTGCGTAAAGAGAATGAACGCATACAACGCTTTTTGGATGAAAAAGAAGAGAAGCTAGCGGCTCGTTCTCAAAAAGGTAAAGGAAAAGGTGCGTACTATGAAATATATAATAAAAAATTGAAATCGCTTTAGTCAAATAAGAGTCAAAGGGATGTATCCCAATCCCAATCAGACAAATATCCAAAATGTCTTCTGCTATATAAAGACTAGAGATATTAGCTCAGACGATCCAATATATTAAATTCTACCTCGTCTCTCTCTACCAGAGGCCTCATAATCAGCTTTGACATCTTAAAAACATGAATTTCCAATTTCTCGATGTTTTTCACTTTGTACAATAGGCCCGACGTGATACCTTTAAAAAGTAATTTTTGAAGGAAATGAGCGGGTGAGAATTCGTTAAGTGGGAGGAGTGGCTTCGTATTGAATGGCCTATAGTTTTATTTCTTGTTTTCGAGATAATTTGATCCAAATTAAATTTTTTTCGTGACAAGCATTAAGCCCACCTTTTTGGAGAAACTCATGGATTTGTAACCTGGTGATAGCTCTAGTACAACAGCTTAAAGTAGTCGTAATTTGTTTCGGTACTACAATCAGGTACCTATTCAACCGTAGAGTAAATTTTCAAAAAATTATTTTTGAAAGTGAACATTTCTTCAATTTGTTGTGTTTTTATTCTGGATTATTTCGTTATTGTATTTTTAAATTTCTTGTCGAACTAAATTACTTTTTGTGTTTTCCTATTATTTTCATTTTGATCGAATTAGTTAAAAAGAGGGTTAGTATGACTCGCTCAGCAGATCAAACCGACATGGAGGAGGAATTCGATGAGGATGAAATGGAAGAGATGGAAGAGTATGAAGGAGAAGAGGTTGAATTGAAACATAAGCCAGGCAAGCGATTGCAGCGCGAAATCGACACCAGTTTCAAGCCGCGTAGAATTCTCTATGGCTATAGAATGCGCGAAAAGGACTGCAACTTCAAGATACAGGGTACCACTGCGCTGGAAGGACGCACCGAGGCGTTGGTGGAAATGATCAAGCCCTGCTTCTTCGCTAGCACACTGGCAGTGCTTTACACCATATTGCGACCACTAAATCAATGGTCTGCGCAGCGTGTGGATCGCGTTATCGAAAGTGGAAAAACGATTGCGAGTCGTGTAACGAATATGACTTCGGCATTTGACCGTTTCATCAAGAATGTCACTGTAGACGATTACAAATTCGATGTATGGGTTAAGACACACGAACCGCCGGGTATGGCGAATGCTGGTGTGGCACGAAAGATCGCCAAGTCGATGCAAATACGCAAATATATGTTGCTTCAAGTGTCCAATACGACATTTGCGATCTTTCATGATGAATATTATCATCTCTTCGATCCTTACCCTTCAATGGAAAAATCACAGGAAGGCGAAGAGGAGGAGGGTGAAGATGACGATGGTGACTATGGAGGAAAGCAGGGACCGCGTAAAGGTAAATGTAAAAAGGGTGTTAAGCGCTACGGCGAACGCAACACCGCGTCGTGGGTGCTATTTGCCGATATTGAATCATTACTGAAATATGTCGATAAACGTGCCGTTAATCAATCTTGGCAAATGGCTGGCGAATATGCGCTGCACGTAATCGATGTGATATCGTACAGAAAGGCTGGACCGAAGACGCGTATACTACAATTGCTCACCGATCTCTCCGTACCGATTGAATGCAAGACTTCGCAGCATGGCGAGGACGAGGCGGTGATGTGCGCGCATCCAGAGACTATGACTTGGTTGGATTTGGAAAATTGCCTGCCTGTGTGGAGCCGCATGAATCGACGCAATACAGCGGGTCGCTATCGTAATTTGCCTGTGACAAAAATGAAGCGCTTTGATATTGAGATCGAGGCTCGTCTATGGTCGCTGTGGGGCAATCTACATCCTGAAGCGCCCGTCTTTGGTGGGACATCGCGTGGTAAACAGTATTTGGCATGCAATGTGATGGCTTGTTGTGCCGCAAAGGTGTATCGCTTGACCGATTGGAGTCCACACTTACTCGACACCATTGTGATTAATGGTGATCGTTATCATCGCGAGAGCTTAGAAAACATCAAACTGCATGATTATGAGTTCTCATTGGAAGATTTGAATCTCGATTGCACACTGGAAAATATCAAATTTGTCGTTCACTTGGAGCATGCCGCATACGGCAAACTCTACAATCCAGGCACTCGCACTACTATGAATTTGGCCGACGCGCTCATGTACTTCTTTACGCACTTCCAGTTTGGCATATTACAGTGTTATAAACATTCCTTGGCAATCGGTCGCACAATGGGCTTTGATGGTGGTTTCTTTATGTTCGACTGCCAAAGCAAAGATCATCCGTTGTTCCCGAAGGGTCAGGGCGCCTCGTATCTCCTTCGCACGAAGCATCTGCAGGTATTGCTCTACTGCATCGTTGTGACTCTCAATGTGCCTTATTACAATGTCACTTTCACGATACACAAAGTTGATATGTTGCGTGAAGGCGCCTCTCTGGACGAGGAGGCTGAGGAAGAAGACGCAGACAATAATTAATTTAGTCGAAAGAGCGCGCATCAAACGTATAAATTTAAGTGAAACTTTGTCTAAATTTTGGTGATCAAATTCCCTTAAAAATCTCTACATATATATATATATATATATCTATTTGGTGTAAATGTAAAAAATTAAAAAAAATTTATTCCAACAACTAAACGAAATTCTGGTACTAAATTGAGCTAGGAAACGAAATAGCGCGCATCAAACGTATAAATTTAAGTGAAACTTTGTCTAAATTTTGGTGATCAAATTCCCTTAAAAATCTCTACATATATATATATATATATATCTATTTGGTGTAAATGTAAAAAATTAAAAAAAATTTATTCCAACAACTAAACGAAATTCTGGTACTAAATTGAGCTAGGAAACGAAATAGCGAACGACAGGAAGACATATTTCGACCTTTTACAAATGATAGGAGTTTGTAGATTTGCAAGGATTCTAAGCACATGCATACGCACCTTCGGATCGGACGGTGCTTGAGTTGTCGACGTGGGGTGTGGCTTCAAGCAGCCTCTGTATCCCAGAATCCAGATCACCAACATCCGGTGCCCTGGTGCCCAGCACTATACTCCAATACTTCGCTGTAAAGCTGCGGCTCCTAGAGAGCTCTCTTGAACGTACACGATTTGAGCGAAACAGCTATGGGCACATAAACCGACCATCGTCGCTCCGGACACTTCTGATCCGAGAATACACTCTGTTTCACTTATAATGACTTTGATCCGGGAGTTGTCTTCCGGTTAGAATTTTAACTAACATGATCGGATGCATGGAATATAAGCTTTCCCAAGAAGAGATCTGGAGGAACCGCAGAAATGAAGAAAAGTTTAAGTATTTAGTTTATATGAATTGAATTTCCTTGATTTCCATTAATCATTGCTGTTCAGGGAAAATAAGCTTGAAAGTAGAGTCCAACAGTGTATACTCGGAAGTACTAGATCTACGTTAAGACCAGAAAGCTTCCGAAAATTGTGATTTAATCTGTTCGCGCTGAATTTTTTTCAGCCCTTTTTTTTTGGTAAGTTGGCAGCACTGTCCTTAATTACTATGCCAAAATCAACAAGTTTGCTTGCAGCAGCTGTTTAAATCAGTCGTCCTCAATTCCCTCTGCGAATTTTCTTTCACGGCCTCAATCCAGTCGAAACGGGTTCCATGGAGTGGTAACTTGAGTTTTAGAAACAAAAAAAAATCGCATGAGGCCAAATCGGGTGAATACGGTGATTGATCAATGGTATTGAACGAGTTTTTGGTCTTAAAACCGTTCCCAATTACAGCTCGTTGCGATGGCGCAAAATTCCAGCCGTTTACGACGGATGTTTTCGCGCAAACGCCTCGCAACGCTCAAATAATACTCTTTATTGACAGTCTGTCCCATTGGTACGAGTTTATGATAAACCAAACTGCGAATATCGAAAAAAAAAATGTGGTCTTAATGTATAAATCATTTAGTTTTAAGTTTATATTCTCGAACAGCCAAGCTGAGAGTTGCTCGGCCTCATAACAGTACAGTGGAATAACTGATGACACAGAATAAGGGAAGGAACAATAAAGCTGTAAGGAAGTTTTAAAAGGTCTCCAAGGTTTTCAAGTATTCAATATTTTTCCGGAATTATTAAGATTTAATTTTGGTTATAGCGAAATAACGGTAGCCACGACAGGTAATTTTTGCAATGCACTTTATTTGGAAAAACTAACCTAAAACAATGAAAAATTTAACAAATTTTGTAACCTCGCTACAAAGCGCCTTACGAAAACCAGCTTCAATGTCTCACACGGAAGCGACCCGCAGCGCTATTCCCGTTAAGATAATGGTAACCATCATCGGCCAAAAAATGAGCGGGCATGGGTTCAGCGTTCGGTTCTACACTGTTTATCGATTGGAATTGAGAAAATGAAACGGGCGCTTCAGGTACACCCTCGTACTGTGTCATCAGTTGGTGATGCTGACGGACAAAGTCAACAGGTTCTAAAGTCTCAGACGCCTGTGGTGGTGTGGTGAGGGGCTGGGCGGCGGATTGTGGAGGCAGATAGTAGTTTGCGGGCTCCTCTTCAGCAGCTGGCGGCATGGGCTGATGGACGGATGGTTCATTCAGCATTTCTGCCGCTTCTTGAGCGGCTTCTGCAACATTTTCCCCCTCGCCAAATGGACTGAGGTATTCCCGTGATGGCTGCATATGAGATGCAAACGCCATTGTTTGCTCACGTGCAGGTAGTTCACGTGACATTTGCATTGAGGAAGGTGGCAAATAGTGTGTCACTGGTGCTAGTGCTGGTGCTGGCCTTTGCGGCGGCTCTGTTGAGTGTTGCATTTGCATTTCCTGTTCAGTCGTATGTGGAGCCAAATATTGATTGGCTGGCATCTCGTGCGTTTGCTGTTCCATCTGCCGTTGCTGCTGTGGTGGCAAGTAGCGTGGTGCAGGTGCTGATTGTTGTGGTAATGGTTGCTCTTCTTGGGCGGCTGACATTGTTGGCAGTGATGCTAAGTATTGTTTGCTTGGTACATTCATCTTGTGCTCTTCGAGCATTTTTGCTTGCATTTGCATTGTCATTGGCGTTAAATATTGCTTAGAAGGAGCTGTGGCTCGCGATTCCTCACGATTTTGGCTTGCTTCTGGCTCTTCTTGCTCACTGATGTTCATTATTGGCGCCAAATATTGTTTACTGGGTGAAGCTACTGGACTTTCCTCCATACGTTGTTCGGATATCATCATCGGTGGCGTTAAGTATTGCCTGGATGGCATGTTACTCTGGCTCGCACGACTGTCTGGTACGCCATTCATTTCTGGTGCCAAATAACCGTTGCTCGGTGCGACTACTGGCGCTTCTTGCCCGTGTTTTGGTTCCACGGAAGGTAGAGGGGTGGTTGGTGGTGCAGGTGGCAACAGCTCTCGCGGCATCATCATCGCTAATGGTTTTTCCGCTCCATTCGCACCTAATGGCATAACCTTGCGTTCATTGTAGCCGTTGCCTTTGCTCACTCCTACACCATAAGGCGTCTGGCCCGGTTGCAGGTATTCCGTTTGTGTTGGCAGTTCTCTAAGCTCCTGCTTCTCAATCGTCGTCACTGTGTGTCTACCCATATGTGTAATAGGAAGTCCACTATGCACACCCATCTCCGACTGTTGACTGCCCGCTCCACCCGGTGGCATCATCATCGTTGTTGGCGGTATGTAATGTTTGGGCAAATGTGAGACATCTGCCATGGCTGAGCCAAAGGCAGCACACGCCACAAGCGTTAGAGTGAGAAATCGCTGTAAAGATGTAACGGTTAGCGGTATTTATTTAATTACGGTAAATAATTTTCTATTTTTGTGTCATCCAAAATACTAACCATTATTTATGTTTTTGCCTCTGGTGTCTACTTCGCAAAGTGTGTGCCGTTGTGCGTTGCGGCTGTGCGTGTGTTTATGGGCTGCCGGACGAAGAAGTGCGCTGTTAAATTGCCGATTCGATTGTGATTGCAATTCACTAACGAGCACTTGCTTTTTATATTGAAGACTTGGAAACAAGTAGACCTTGAGTACTTACACACATTTTAATGGTAATATTTTAAATATTACGAAGACGAAGCTGAAGTAGTAGAAGCTGTGGAAGGAGAGTGCGCGCTTCAAAAGCAAGCAATTTGAGTGGGTCTCATGACTGATTTTTGTCTTTGAAATTTTTGATTTTTTTTCGGTTTTTATTTGGTCATTCAGAGTTCACTGTACTATTTTAACTGTATATTTGGTTCGTTTTGGAGTTGATGATGGTGTTTGTTGCTAGATGAACACTTTCGGAAGTCTTCTTTTTTTGTGAATATGTAAGTAAGTGTATGTATTTATGTATGTATATAGTTTTTTGCAGAAGCGCCTTCGGTCAATAATGTGCAGATATTGATCAATCGCCAGAATTTAATTGCATTCACGTGAACTATAAATATTTCTATAATCATATTATTGTACAAAAATATATTATATATAATACATATGTATGTATGGTACGACCAACATGCAAAAGTTACAGAAAAATAATTTAAATAAAAAATTATGTTAAATTTTATAATTGCGGTCGCCCCGCGGAAGGAAATGTCAGACCCTCCGAGTCTATTGTTGGTAGCTCGGCAACATCAGCATACACGCAGTTACCAGAGGGCGCTGAAAGAATCATCCCCGCATCCAGCACTTCAGAATAGAGCGGGAGAGTGAAACTAATCTAGCACCACCGAAACTTATTTGCCGCTCAGCCGTTTGCAGTAGCGATGATGAACCAAATACAATTATAAAAGAACGGCAATATATGCCTCTCCAGAATTTTCACAGTTGTGCACAAAGGTCACCCAGTGTTGGCATAATGATCACTAGTCGCTAGGAGAGATATTGTGAAAGGATTCTCACACTTTATTACGAAATATAATTGGCAGGGAGCTCCTCGTTTCCAAGTTGAAATAATTTGGGGATGTCTTTGGACCACGGCTAGCTTATTTTGCGGATAGTATCTTTACCATCCAGCCAGTTTATATTCCCGCGTTACAAACCATTGAAGATTCACCTATCGCGCTACCGGTATTTTGGAAGGATGCAGTCATTCGGACCTTCTTCTCCAGTAATCTACACTCCTCGTACTGTTCTCCCCTAAAAGACATTACAATTATAAATACATTCTCAAAGAAACATTGCATATACAAGAGAAGAAAAGCAAGCGAAAGAAGAGCGGACCTACCAGTCAGATCCAATAGAATATAAGAACATGAAAAGACATCGTATTTACTTAGGAAATCTGCTCTACCTGAAATCCAATCCTGAATAGAGTAAAATGCTCATAATAAAAGGGTGGAGTCATCAATCATATGGATGCTGCGGGTGGCCTTGCAGTTGCCCACTCAGTCCTGTCTACCGCTGCAATTTTCAACACATTTTCGACTGCGTGACCTTCTGTGGCTACAATACAGCCTTGAGTCGTATTGGCTGGTAGGTATAGAGCTTTTCCTTAATGGGTTCTCCAAAGAAAGTTCAGCAGAGTCAATTCACAGCCTCGAGACGGCAACGTAGCCGCCGAGGTGAGAATGATTACACCAATGAGATTAATCGGAAAACATGAAAATGCCCATCTTCTGATCGCTTGGCTCCCCATTGAGTGAATCGAACTCGCTTCGGATGATCATGCACTCTTGGCATTTTGTTATTCGTGGATCGGGCAATCGTTATTTGGACTTATTATAGTCAGGTAATGAATCGTCTTTACCATCGTCATTTCTGGATGTTTCATTTTTACTGTAGTTAAGCAGGCTTGAGAAGTACTCCCCCCGTAATACAATATACTCTGAACCTTCTCCTTCCTGTGATGAGATGGAGAATAACGTGATTTCATTTGGCGTTGAACAGTTAAAAATCAAACATCGTCGGGTAACGAATCAAATAAAGAACTACGACTGGTGCTCTCAGTCTGTACAGGGGCGTATGAGTAATTTTTTTTCAAAGGGTTGGTAGGGACACCGAAATTGTATATGAATGAGAAGGAAAAATCAACTTTTGCTTTCACAAAAGCAAAGGCAACATCAATAAATGTATGTATGTTAGATGACTTATTATTTTTAAAAATAAATATTTCTACAGAGATAATTTTATTGCCACAAAGCAAATGATAATTCGCACATCGGTAAAGAAATCATGAATAACTGAGTGTTGCACTTGGGATTCGCAAAGTGATAAGCGATTTAAGCGTGTTTTGGACACGCACATTAATCACACTCAGTATGTTTATACGCTGATCAGCTGTTGTGTACATATGGACAGATAAAATCTCGTTGAACAAAGGCGCAACATGACGTTTAGTAAACCCAATGATCGTCAATGAATCGTAAATATTGCCATGTTTGTATGTAAGCATAGTTGATTCTGCAATAGTGCTGATTCATTATTTTAATGTCGATAAATGAAATATCAATGAAAACGATTAATTTGTCATGGCGTACAGAGCGAATGCCGGGCGAGTGCTTAATTGAAGTTATACACGCTGAGGCGAGCGAACGAAGCAGCGCAAGAGCGCAAGCGCAAATGCCTTTGATGGCGCCCAAACGTGATTAGGCTAAAAGTCAAATGAAGCGTTGGTGGTGTATGTTTGTATGTACGAGAGTGAGTTAATATTTGATTTTCACATTGATATACTTTAGAGACTTCAAGAAGAATGGCTTGCAGCAACGTCAGGCATCCGAGTAATGTTTGTATGCATGTAGGCATACGAGTACATAGACTTGTATCAAAGGTCTTGCCTTTGGTGAATTTGAATCTTGCTACGATGCTTATTGGCGCATACTTTCAGACAGCTTCAAGTGATTACCGTTAATTTGTTGGTAATTGTAAAGGTTTACAGACCAATTTGCCATATTTCAATTTCTACCTGTTTCGCTAATGAGTTTTATTTCTGTTTTTGCTAACATGGAATATTAAAAAGTAAAAAAGAAAAATTATGAAATCTTCAATGACTTCGATCAATGCAATAAAGCGGGCAATAAAATGAATTCATATCACCTTAGCGAAAAGAAATAGCATTGTGGTTCAAGGTCAATATTGGTAACTTAAGAATTGGGGTTTTATTATTGTTGTTGCTATAAGTTATCTTCAAGTATGAAGCTAGGCAAAAAACGTGTGAATTTTTTAGTTTAAATCATAAGACGGATTTAATTTTTTTATGAAAAAGATGATCAAGTATCATCATTAAAGATATAATACCTGTCTCCGACATAATCGCTAATATGAGGTATAGTAAAAAGTAATCCATCAATATTGAATTAAATTGTTATGGAGTGGATGCATAAGAACCTCCCAACCATAATCTTGGAGTTTTTGGCGAGTCACTATCGATGTGTATAGTCTCACGTTGTCCCGATGAAACACAATTCCCCTCCTATTGCCCAAACCTTGGTGGTTCTGGGCGGTTGTATTCCTCAGACTGTCCAAGCGCTGCCAGTAAAGGTCCGAAAAATTTTGCCGTAGGGGAGCGGCTCATAGTGGATGATTCCCTGCCAATCCCACCAAATACTCAGCAAAACCATGCTGGCTATTTTTCCTGGCTTGAAGACCGTTTGAGGCGGCTGACTGCCCTTCGGCCACGGTCATGTCGAGTGTTTCAGGAGTGATTTTCCCTGGGTAATTTAACTCTGAGTTTTCGTATCTTTTACAAGTTGCCAACAGTAGAGATCAAGCCACATTTTGACATCGAGTTTTCGTGTCTCGCTAAGAAAACCACACTCTGGATATTTAACTTTGCTTGCCATTTCTCAATTTCAGTCTGCTAAATAGGCTCCCAACCATGCTCTGGGTCGAAGATTCTGCTTTCGATAAAAACCCTATGAAAAGTAGCTCCAATTGTCAAACACTTTGACACGAATGCACCAATGAAAAAGATCCGGATTGGGTTCGTCGAATTGTTCTTTGCAGCGGACCATCACACATATTTCTTAAGTAAGGATAATTCTGCTGTCGTCATTTTTTGTTCGCCACCACATTTTCTCTTTTGGAAAAACAACGAGAAAATCACGTCACTTTTTGATTTTCATTCAAATTTTTCTTTCACATCACATACATACATACACGTATATACTTTTTCATATTTGGCACACAAAATTTTACGCGTTTTTATAAAATTTAGTCGCCTTTTATTTTATGCATAATTACTATAATAAACAAATACCGTTAGTGCAAAAAGAGAATATTTTGATCACATCGAGCCTGTAAGCTGCCTTTTTGACACCCACACATTTATCGTTGTATTTCCGGAAGTGAAGGGCTAAATTATGAATTGTGCCACATGCAAAGTGAACAAAATTGGACCGAAGACGGCGCCGTTCGGTGGCTACTTGTGTGGCAATGAGCACATGCAATGCGGGGATTGCAATGAACGAACCGACGGGCAGTGCGGCGTTTGCGAGGAGAACACCTCCTTCGTGCAAATGAATTTCAATCAACGCGAGCGGCACACGTCACCCATTCGTCGTGTGTATCCGCATATGCGACCGATGCCTACAGCGGAAAGTGTGGATATCGAGACCCATTCGATTGCGGCGGCGACGCTGGAGACCAACTCGTCTTATGTATTTCCGAAAGCTTTTTATGCCGATATGGAGACACAGTCGAGTATATCACAGGAGCATTTAAGTATGCATGAATCGCAAGATGCTCTTAGTGAGGACCAAGGAGAAGAAATGGATCAGCATCTCATAGATGGTAAGAACTGTTTATCGCTTCACCCCGGTTATGTCTTTGATGGCGTTGGTATCCCTACAACGGATGGCGTCGCTGCAACAACCGTGACACCCACTCCCACGCCAATGTCCATGTCCATGTCAATACCGATGATGATGAAACAATATTTGCCGCACAATGCACAGGACCGAATACAAATGGAGACGATTTTCTTTGGCACTAACAATCAGCCACAGTCGGCTTCGAATTTTACATTTCAATTTCGTACCGAGAACGGTTTGATGCATTTGATGCAGCAACGCGATTCGAGCACAGCTGCCTTGGAAGTGATTGAAGCGCCAAAGAGCATACAGCTGACCACGGAACAAACGAACCTCTGTGATAATTCCTGTGACGGTGTTTTTGTTGGTGCTGCTGAAAGCGAGAAAGAGAAAATACCCAGCCCAAACGCTGATGTAAGCAGTAGTCCTGTGTTGACTATTATCACATATGTAGTTATTTATTTCTCTTCTGCTCTCTACTTTCGCTGTTAGGACACTGAAGACGTCATACATACGTCGGAAATACGTTTCATGGAGTCGACGGAGAGCATGAAAAACTATTTCTCCGATGGCACAATGCATCCCATACTCAAGGCCAAACACGAATTGCCACGTACAAGCAACACCACCTACAGTCGGAATCTCCAGCCACAAGAGTCGCTCTCCATAAAGAAGCTACACGATTTTGAGACACGCAACACCGCACATCCCACAGAGGTGGTTGAGAATTATCTACGTCATTATGGGCCACTCGCCTTTTGCCAGTTCCCCGCCTATGCTTTCAGTCACAGCTGCCAGGCGAGCACTTGTGAGACAATGGATGCTTTTCAACGCCGTCAAACACAAGTTCCTGCTCAATCACAAACACCTCAAAATCAAACACGTACCATCTCCGCTTCTACTGAATCGGAGCCAACGCTCGCGAGCACCAAGAAAACTGAGCTGCCACCGGGTAAACACTTGCCGCCGGAATATTTTGTAATGCAAGCGACTGGTGTGGCCGCTCCTACGCAGGGCACCTTACCCGAAGTTGATAAAGCATCACATCCCAGCATAGATATACGCATGCAAAAAGTACTGGAGACCTTCCAAGAGGAGCCACATGTGCCAAATGTCAGCGATAAGCCGATCAGTATTGATCAGTCAAAGAAATTTATAAAAATCATCGATTCTATAGAGCAAACTAAAGCAACGGCCCCGACAATATCAACGGTTAATAATAAACAGGTTGACAAGGTGAGTACGTGCGAGTCACCCGCAGACAAGGCGAGCTTCGATATCATGTCACACCTCTCGAATACGCATCGCGCTATTTATAATCCCCCAACTCAGCGGCATCTAAATGGCATCTACAATCAAGTCAGTAATCTTATCTGTGCCGAACCACCACCACAATTCCAACTCGTTACCTGCTCTAATGTAATGGCCGCTGAATTATTACTCTCCAAAGGTCGCTTTCTAAATATGAAGCCCATACCCGCCTGCCAGTTGACTATACCTCGTCCGCCCATTAAGTGCCCGGAATCGGCTTGCCAACGCATGATTTTCGTCTCCGATTTCAATAAACATCTAATTGTTGATCACAGCTCGTTGCCGATGGAACGCATAGCCCCCCATCAATGCAAAAATTTCTTCCTCGATCCGCGAATAGCACATTGTGGCATTAACAAGTGCCACTTACTCTATTTAATACGCGATAAAATTACTGATCTGGGCAGTAGTAAATTCAAAGACTTTCTGCCGCTCTTGGTGATGAGCACACGCGTACACCTCTCGGATTTGTGTGGCATTGATAAAAGAGAATTCACAAACCCTGACAACAACCCTGAGTTTCTTATGATGTGGCTGACGGGCATTGTGCCGGAGGAGTTTCCTGTGACTGTAAGCTTGACGGTGTGGTCGCGTTCGGGGCAATTACCCACTTGTCACATGGTACACTCAGGTGAGATGTATTCCCTGCGTAATTCGCAAGAGCCTAAAGATGTCTGTCGCAGTGGTCAAATGTTGTTACTCTCAGCAACTGAGGTGAATCTATTAACGAACAGCGGTAAAGAGATGTTGGAGCTGCAAATTGTTGTACATTAGAAAGACCGTAGTATAAATGACGAACGAACAGAGTTTTTAGGTTAATGGATGGATCCAGACATAGAAAGAAGTGCAGAGAAGGCCATGAGTTAGACTGCCAAAAACTCTTTACAAACAAAAATATTACAATACAATTCAATATATTTTTTAATTAATTTTAATTTAAACAACTGATAATGAACATATGTATGTATTTACTGAAATGTAACACAAATAAATTTATATGACTAATGAAAAAATACTATTTATTATTTGCCCCACAGAAGTTTAAAACTAAAAAACCCCTTAATTAGCAAACACAAAACTGTAAAGCATATAATTGAGATATGAGTTTTGCGAACGGATTTTTTTGCTGAATACGATCGATCACGGTCAAAAACGTGAAGGGAAGTCACGAAAAACCCTTAATTTTACATATAAACCCTGACGTGCTGACTGACATGTCTTAAATATGCGTTTATGTATGAAACTATTGCCAGTTGAAGTTCTAGCTGATTTTTCATTTTCCAACAAATTTTCGCACCAAAAAGTTCTTTGGATAATATTTCAGAACTCTTTTTGCTTAAGTTCAACTCTAGTGGCCATGAGAAAAAGGGGTTAATCTCAAACAAAGAGGTTATCTCAAACTTACCTCCAGCGGCACTCATTTTGGAAAAAGTCCTTGGTAAACATGCTTGACTCGTATTAATAATTAAAAATTATCGCTAAGGTCGTGATCATTGGGAATATTTCCTAGGGGGTCACATTTATACAAATATTTCTAAGAGCCTGAAATTATGCAACAAGAGCTAAAACAGAAAAAGCGTATCAGTTTAAATATGTAGATATTGACGGAGTACCAAAAGCATTAGGAAACCATATACACGTAAGTGTTCTCCTTAGACTAACTGATGGAAACAATGCTCGAATATGGAACTACGATCATTTTTTGCGGGAATCAACGGCGTTTGTGGAAAGGGCTTTATGAAATGCATAAAAATGGACTTGGAGAATTTTAAAAAAGTTTGGCCTGCTCGAGTTACGAGAAACTACTGAAATAAAGTAAATATATTTGACGAGCGTGTGGATGGCAACATACATTTGTAAGCTTTTTTTAAGAGGAAAAATAAAAAAGAGACAAAGTAATAGTTTAAGATTAGGAAGAAGAAGAGCGACAGTAAGTAATAGCAGTTTCGTGAGCTTCGAAATTGCTATCAGTTTTGATTGATATCTTCGGTTGTGAATTAAACGCAAATCGTTATTAGAAATTTTGTGACAGAAAATTTTAAAAGTTTGTTTTATTGGCTCGACTAAATAAACTCCGAATTGGAAAACTAGAAAAACTATATAAATTCAAGGATACAAACCTCTACTCAAAAATTAGAATTTGAAAATAAAAAATAACTTCAATAATTCATAATTCATTCCCGCGGTAAGTAAGTCAATGCGATTGGAGTGTAAGTAACATGACAAATGAAACCCACCAATAATGCAGCAGCTTTTTTCCACCTTTTTCAGCAGAGACTGTGCACTAGAAGAGTATCAATCCGAGGCACATCGAAACCGGGCAACGCGATGTCTAACGGCGTATTGCCGAAAACCCAGGCATCCAAATCTTCGCTCAAAAGCAACGAATTAAGCGAGGATGCGAAGGTACAAATTTCCAACAGTGATTTTTCTTTCGAGCTTAAACCGAAACCGAAGCTGACGTGTATACCTGAGAACTGTAGTAAATTCCTAAGCGATTTGCGGTGAGTTGAGTGTGTTGCGAATAAGCTCCGGCTTCCCTGAATGACCATTCTAGTGAACCACTTTGCAGAAAAACTCAATCGTTGAACGTCTCGAAGAAAGCTGAGGTACCAGAGAAGTCGTGGTCAGTTTTATTCATCGGCTCGAAAAGTAATCTGCATGCCAAAAATCTAATTATGTAAATTCCAACGTCGGCCAATGGGAATGTGTTATGAAAATCAATACTTCCGCGAGCTCATTTTTTAGACGGCGTCGTAGCGGCCTTTGTTCACTGGATATTAAAAAATTTGCTTTTCAACAAAATTCCCCCTTTGTCCTAATGAAACTTAATAAATAAAACTTATTTAGCAGAATTTAGACAAAAAGTGTTGGTTTTTCATTACGTAACGAAGGAGCTCCTCTATGCCGTAGTTCTTTCCAGATTAGAGAAGAAGAAGCTCTCAAACCGCTAACTGGGAGAACCAGAGAGGAGTTCTTGTCAGGAATGTGTTCAGAGTTAGTGGTTTGAAAGAAAAATTCTAAAATAGAACTAAGGAGCTACTACAGCAATTAGGCTCAATAAGCGCGAACCTAAAAGAGATTCTTCTTCTAGGATAGAACTAACAACGTTAATCGCTTTGCAGGGTACATTAGAACAACATGTCAACTCATGACTTATGCATGAACGCTCGCATGTGTTCCGGCGCCCTTTTACCCTCCACATTTAACCAACCAATCATCAGTCAAGTTCAACCAATTCCAATAAAGATAAAATTATAACTCCGAATTATAATTTTTCAGCATTTTATTCTCTGATTATTTTTTATGAAGCGATGCACACAGAAGATATGTAAGCATAAAAACTGACTTATAAGATCTTGAACACTACTCATTTAAGCTGTAGACAACCAACGCAATGGCATAGATGGTTAAAAATTTGATCGTTCTTATTAAAAACCGCATCTGGTTACTTTCTATCCGTTCATCCGCTAGGTTCCTGGTCCGGCCTGGAGAGAAGAAAGCCTAATTTTCGCGATTGAGATCGGAAGAAACCAAGAAAAATGAAAAATTTTCTTAGATATTGAATGGTTGTGGAAAACCTAGTTTCTAAAATATCTAAAGAAATTTTGAAATGTGATTTTAACGAGCGTTCTTTGTTGTAGAATTATTATATTAAACAAAGTATTGATGAGGGGGCTAGATTTAACTCAAGACTGGGATGCAGGAGTAAGAATACAATTTGCAAAATACGTGAGGTGAGGTTCATACCAGCAAAAAACATCATACTTCCAGTCTGTTGTCAAGGCTGTTATCGAGCTTTGGCCGTTGGTGGCGGGTAGAAAATGCAGCGAATGTGGAAAGGAGAAATCCGGTGTTCCTCCGTTTTACCACATTCATCTCTTCGAGACTATCAGCTCGAGCAAACCCAACTCAATTTGATCGGACGATCTTGAGTTTATTGAAATAATTTATTTCATCTTTTTGATTCCATGAGGCGAAAAGAAGCTCGAAATATGAGCTTAATTATAAAATAATTCGGGAACCATAAACTTTTATATGGATGTTACTTAACATTCATAACTACATACACAAACTATATACAGTACATAATTTGCAATTTGGATCTTGATATTTGCTTAGCTTTGGCTTCACATCTAGCTCATTAGCCATAGAAGCACATGTGCACAATGTGTATTCTACATATATACATACATATGTATGTATGTACTTAATTGTGAAAATAAATCTATATACCTACATACCTACATATGTAGGTTCTTGCTGAGAAATACATATATTCTTAATATTCTTTCGCTGACGAGCCATGTCGAAAAATTGGTTGTTGTGGTTATGCCTTTAGTGTTCGAGGAATATTGAATTATGATATTTGTTATCTTATAAAAACAATTAATGACTTCCTAATTTACCTCTGACAATTAACGAACAGGGCATTGAAATATTGTGAATTACGTTAACAAATCATCAGAAGGGAATTTGATTAAATAAAATATGTTTGAACGCTAGACAAAAGATGGATTCAGTGGAGCACCTATGTTTTCATTATCGATGTTTTTTCCAATATTCTTCCATCTATCATTCTGACGATTTGTAACTGTTTCCATTTCAGGCAGAAAAGCATGTAGAATATATGAAAGTTTTCAGAAGTCTGCCGAGTGACATAATTTAATTTTTTCTTTCGCAGCTTAAGCGCCTTTGGACGGCTTTTCACCTTTAACCACACTTCTGAGAGTTTTGTCCTTCCTTTCTTATAATATTTCTCTTTGAATTGCAAATCCTCAAAACTTTGCTTCATCGAATATTTTGCAATATTCTTCCACGAAGTGTTCTGACGACTCGTTATTTCATATTTCGGTGACTACTGAGCATGTAAATGACGAAATTGATTCCTAACGGAGTGATCTCTTCCCCTCCGAATCCACTTCTAGAACATAAAATGTATACGACAGATTTCCAAATTTTAGATTTAGAGTCACAAATCCGCTAATATAGCACCTTCTCGAAATCTGAATACGTTTCGGCCCCTTGGCAGTTGTACTTTGTGATGACTCGAGTATATCACTTACAATTCTCTTAGAATTCAGGAAAAAATACATGCACATCTCCTTGCTCCATACTTTCTACACGATGCTAAATGTTTCTAGAAAACACATTCCCTCACTTCACTCTAATGAATCAGATATAAATAAATTATTGAAACTGTGAAAAAATTGCGAAAATCAGCACTTCGACACTTCGACATACAGATTTATCGCTCGAAATAAGCCATTTGAACACCAATATATAATTCTGGAAAAAAATTATAGCAATTTTTTTTTTTGTTTTTGTTTATATAATTTGCACAGAATTTGCAAGTGCTTAGCTAACTTGTCATTTTTACAGAAATGATTCATGCTATTTTCGAAATCTGTTCTTCATGATTCAAAATTGATGAGAATAAGTTTGTAATACATATTTATTTGTCCTATTGTGTTTACAGATTTTGTTACATTCATCTGTATGTATGTGTGTATGTATGTACATATTCGTGTTTGTTGTTTGGGTTTTTTATTTACTATCCAAAGTAAAAATATTTGCGTTTGAATATGGCATAGTTTCATTACTCATAATTGCCGCAGATACAAAACAAACAAACATACATATATATGCATGTAGTAAGCGCTTTGTAACCGGTGAAGAGATTTTCTGCAGATACTGCAGATTAAAATTGTAAAAAATGCATTTTTTATTCCGAAAACATTCACATGATGTCATATAAAGTTATCTTAAGCAAAAGAGGTTAACAAAGGTCACTCTATTACCACCCAAAGGGGCAGATTTCGACTGCTTGATGAATTGAAACATTTGCGTTACAATCAATCCTGTGCGCCGGCAATTAAAAAAATTTGAGGGTGAAAAAGTTCAAAAAAGAATTTTTTTCTCTGAAAATGCTGAACGTCCACGCATACACGCATGCAGTGGCACGTGCTGCGCGACCCAGTTGGATACTTGAATAATTGCTGGGAATCAACTATTGAGCTATACAAGAAGCAGTGGATCACAATATTTCGGACTCCGTGCAAAATTTCTTTTATTTGCTCCACTTTAAATTTGTTAGGGCTCATAAAAAAATCTAAACGACATAATTTGATCTTTATTTCTCGCTACATTTATGCACATATGTACATCAAAATAGTTTCGTCTACATTATCAAATTCGTTTCACATCTTAATTACTTGTATAGTTTTCAAATTCAATTTATTGGCAACGAAGAAATCATTCATAATTTCTTTGCCCGACATTTAGGTGCCAGATGCTGTACAAGTTAGTTTAACAATGATCTCATCATCAAACAAATATTGGACACATACATACATACACACATGTAGGTGCAACGGTATGACTATGTGGTTGCTTATATGTATGGCGGAATAAAAATAATCTTAGACTTGTGCTCATCTAAGGCAAATTCAGTTGGATTGTACTTAAAGTTTGAAGTTCCATGATGAATTCCATTTACAGCTCTTATTTTTATATGTATATGTGTATATATTAAAGAAACTTATCGATGTGCTTGTATACTCCTTTACACTTAATAGATAGCACTTCGTAAACACATCAGCCGCTTCATTTCTGAAGCTCTTTTTGTCTACTAGCTTTCTACCAGATCCCTGATTCTATTCTCTATCTGAACTGTTAGGAAAAATCACTTCTTCCCTTCATTTGCATACCAAAACTTTCGATTCCTTGAAAACAGATGAGCTACCGTCAAAGCTTTTCGCTCGACTTCGCGTTCTTGTTCCTCAGTTTTCTGTAGATTCCTCATTATTAATACAAACGACGCTTCCATTCGTATTTTGAGAGCTACTTGTACACCGTTGTTTTTGGTACAGACCGGCATGCAAAGTACTCGTTTCTCTTTCAAAACCAAATTCTTGAAATTCGCCACAAATATTTCTTTACCATAAGAAACAGATCATATCTATCCATTATTCTAGTCTCTCATTACAGCCTTCTTCTTCTTTGAAAATGTTACTGAATACCAGTGAGAAACCGCTTTACCGATTGAAAAAATATTTGAATGTAAATTCAGAGCCACCCGTTTTCCATCTCCTTTACGCCGTTCGAATTCTCAAGAAAACAAGCATAAAGAAAATTTCTTAGTTAAAATTTGTATTAAATTCCTTCAAATCCTCAACGAAAGTCTGGGCTCATATCCAGTGTGGACAAATCTTCTATCCGACACATCCTTGTCTTATTTTTATATTTTATTTCATTTTTTGGTTGATTTTATTTCGTTGTATTTTTTAATCATTTTATCTAAATTTTTGTTTAGTTTATTCTTTTTATTTCAATGTATTTAATCTCTTGCGAATTGAAAATATTAAAATTTGCTGAATTTTTTCAGTTTTTGCCGCTTTAGATGAACTCTGTGTGGTCCAAAGTGCGAGTGTAATTACATAAATACACGTATATCGTATGTGTATGTATGAATATGAGGACATAGATACATATATACATATATGCAGAAATAGACGTTTGTGTGTACGATTTTAGTTAGATGATAATGATGTGAGATTTAAAATATCGAACATAAAGAGCTTCTAATGAGGATCTAATGCTCGAGATTACTCGAAGCTCATTTGGGGATCAGAAACACCTTTTATTTATGCTTTTTTGAGGCGTGCGCTGGCAGAGAACTCGTATACATACACGTATGCGATATTTAGCAGCAAGAATATTCCGTTCGTTAGCGCTTTTAATCGCCCATATCAGACGTGTGCTCCATAAAGTTGGTAGCGAGGCGTTGAAGCTATAAGAAGCACTGAGAGTATCAAGAAATATTGTAAATATGCTTTCCACTTTTGATAGACCAGAAAAG